CGAGTAGCGTCTCAATGTCGACATTAATATTCGCTGTTGCTCGTCGTATTCTTTGTGCAATTTCATTTATCTCAATCAGAAAGTTTTAAACCAAAATATGCACTTTGAAAATAACGTCATCCATTTTTCTTTTTCTTTGACCCTGTAAACCGTTGAAACACAACACGTACTACAAAATGAAAAATGAAAAATGAAAAACCAAGTTTCAATTTAAGCCTGATCTAATCTAAAATCTGATCTAAAATCTGATTTAAAATCTCTTTCCCTTTGCATACAATCTGTTAATTCTTGTGGTAGAATTAGAAAAACAATAAATGAAATAGATGTTAAACCTTGAAATCCAAAAAAAAAGAAGAATCTCTCATTTCCCTTCAAGAATCTCTTCAACTATCAATTTTGCCTCTCAAAGCTTTACTCATTGCTGAAAACAACAGTAATTATGTTTAACAAAGTTTTTTTTTCTTTTAAATAAGCATTTACATTTACCACCTTTATGAGTACTGACTTGATACGTGTAACAGTGAGCTTTACAGTCCGTTTCGTGTTTATCCTCACCCCCAAACTGCCTAGAACTGGAGTAAGTGCTCGATTAGTGAGTGAGGATTAAACCGTGAAACGGCACATATGCATTTCAGTGTGAATTCTCTCTATTTCTCTTAAGCCTCTTTGAGTAGCCTTCGAGTAATCTCTTAAATGGAATAGTTATCTCCTAGGTTTCTCCTAGCGTAAGCCCTAAAATCTCTTTCCCTTTGCATACAATCTGTTAATTCCTATCGAAATCCCTACTCTCTTCTGAATAACTTATTCAGAAGAGATTCTTATCAGGTGTGTTCTCCCAAGTTCGTTCGTAATTCGTTTTCTAAAATGCACCTATTTGAGAAAAGTATCGTAGCTAAACCGTTAGTTGACATTCAATCCGTCCAATTTTGGTATCATTCGATGAGGAATTAAAATGCTCAGACTAAAATCGGACTCGAGAGGAACACATTCTAGATGTCAAAGTCATTAAAAAATGTTACGGTTCTTCTATTTTATTATTTTATGTCAAATTACGCGTAGATTTTATGGTTAATTGTTGTTTCTCAGTTTAATTTATTGTCTTAGAAAGCCAAAAAGATCCATTAAACGCAAAACTATGCAGGATGCGCCAAAATTACGGCTACACCTTTTCAGCAGATTGCAAACGCCGCAATCAATTCAAAAACCCTAAGTGTTACATAGAGAATTGAAGCCTGAATTCTTGCCTACTTTTCTGTACCAAAAGATCACCCTGCATAGTTTTGCGCTTAATGAATCTTTTTGGCTTTCTAAGACAATAAATTAAACTGAAAAACAAGAATTAACCATAAAATCTACGCGTAATTTTACATAAAATAGAAGAACCGTAACATTTTTTAATGACTTTGACAACTAGAATGTGTTCCTCTCGAGTCCGATTTTAAGATTTTCCTATTTACAGGGTATTCAAAAAACAAGTTTCCCATTTTAACTTAAATTTCTAAAAACTGAAGTGGCTTAAGGTGGGGACCATGGTGGCTCAGAAATTTCATGTACAGCGATCATGTAATCAGGAAAATCTCCAGAAAAGTTAAAAAATTGTGACGCCAAAAAACAGCTTTGACACCAAGACGATCACCTTGAGCCACTTAAAGTTTTTTAGAAATTTAAGTTGAAATGGGGAACTTTTATTTGAACACTATGTAAACTAACGATTTGACTATGATACTTTTCTAAAATAGAGCGTAGAAAACGCATTAATCAAAACGAACATCCTTTAAACTGACGGTTTGACTTTTCTAAAACCAAAGACTTGGTACTTTTTTAAACTAGAGCGTAGAAAACGCATTACTCGAGAGAAAAACTCGAGTAATGCGTCTCATGTCTATGTCAGACATCTCATTTATTTGCTTATTTGATTTTGTCCATTTATCCATCACTCAAACTTTATCCACTTTTCCCGTACACTGAATGTGTGTGGTTGAGTGATGTGGAAGAGATTGAATGCTGAAGAATGGAAAGGAGAAGGGGACGGGGTCGAGATTTGCTTTTCTGCACCATTGACTCCTGTGGGCATGGGAGGGGAGGAAGGGATGAATGACCGGCATTCGATGGCCGTCCAATAGAGCCCCTTTCCCTCATATTTTACCCACCCGAGCCTTTCTCCCCATTTCTCATGGACTCTCCTCGAAATGTGCACTCTTTCCCATCGGGCTTTATTGTTGTGTTCGTGTCTGTGGCCTCTTGCCCATACACATTTCTCGTTTTCGCGAATGCGGGCATCGATCTCGCAGAGTGGCACAATGCCAGTGGTATTGGGGCCCGCCCTCTCCCTTTCCCCCTTCCTTTTCAGCCTCACCCACAACACTAGCTTCTGCCTTTCCCTCAATAACCCCTAAGAAAAGTCTCTCTTTAGTCTCTTCCCAGACCTAGCTTTTTTTACTTTTCCCCTTGCCCCGAAATTTAGAGCATTTGAATTTCTCTGCTTCTCCGCCACATTCCTTTTAGAGTTTTGACATTTTCTTTAAAAACCACAACATTAGCTTTTTTGGGGGTTTTTTCGGGAAGGTTTTTTTCTTTTTTTTCCCTTGCGCCAGTCGGAGGGAGACCCGGTTGCATTTCGAATGCTTTCCCCTTTTCTCTTTTGCCTTTTCCCCACCCCTAGCAAGTTCTTTTGATTACCCAAAGATACCCCAATTCTGGATTCTTGATTCACTGCTCTTGTTATCGATTCGATATTCTCTTTTTGCGGGATCAAGAGTTGGATTTCTCGGGCAACTTATGTCATAGAGGAGAGAGAAGGGAATTGCTGTGCACACAGGCGTTCACTCTTCTCTTTTTTTTACTATCCCTTTAGCTCTTTCCATCTTTTTTTTGCCAATGGGAATCAACTCGAGGATTTGCCTCAATCAGCAAAGATTTATCAGCTTTTCTTTAGTTTAAATGGCATTTTCGGTTCTACAGCTCAGCCTAAGTCAAATATTTTTGTCTAAGAGTCGAATTAATACTGTAGACATAGTAAGTGCTAGTAAAGTAGTACTATAGTCATGTAACACAGCTGTTAAGATCTATTGAAACTTGAGAAAAGATCACTGTCAGAATCTATTAGCATATAAGAAAGATGCAATTCTTGTCAATATTGTAGACACTGTTTAGGTGTCAGATATTAGCAGCCAAGAGCAAGTTATCAGCCTAATCTTAAGCTAAATGTAAGAATAAAAGTTAAATCTTTTAAAAACATTTCTTCACGGGAAAGAAGAACTAATAATCTAGCCAGGAATCTAGTCAAGAATCTAGTCAAGAATCTAGTCAAGAATCTAGTCAAGAATCTAGTCAAGAATCTAGTCAAGAATCTAGTCAAGAATCTAGTCAAGAATCTAGTCAAGAATCTAGTCAGGAATCTAGAAATAATAATCTAGCCAGGATTGAACCGTTGACCTCGCCTCCCAACTGGCTAAGATACAAGGCTCTTAGCCAGTTGGCCATGACGTCTTTACAACCAGTCAAAATACTACCCTTTAAATCCTAGACAGCTTTCATCATGAATCGTTTTCGATTGATTTGATTGATTGGGGGGATTTTGAAAGCAAGAGACGGAATGGATCCTCGCTTTTGCACGAGTGATCATTCACTGATGGATGAAAAGGGAACGATGTTATTTTTGAATCCCCAAATTTTTTTTTGCGAAAAATCCCAAAAAGATTGGGAAAAGGGGCTAACAGTGTGCACAACTCGTTACTCCTTTTCCCTTCCTTTTTCCTTTCTTTCCGCCCCTTTTTGCCCTTTCCGAAAAATGTGGCCGATCGATCGATTTGTGGCATTTGGAACTGCCTGGAAATAGCCTCTGCCTGTCCCCAGCGTATCTTAAAATCCCTGTCTTCTTCCTTCTTCTTCCTTCTTCCTTTCTCAAAATGGTATCGTTAAATTTTAAAACTTTTACTTATTTACTTTTACTTTTTACCCAGTTTACTAATTAGTAAACAATTTGTTTTTTTAAAAAATCCTTTGCTTTTGGTGAATTGAAACCCTGCCAATAAACAGAGTCTATAAAGTAATCTGACAGGTGAAATGACAGGGTTTAAACTGAGTCTATAAAGTAATCCAAGTCACTAAACAGTCTATAAAGTAATCCAAGTCAATAAACAAATTCCCCGATACCTTTTGCTCTTGTTTACTAGTTATACTGATTTAGTGCTGCAATCTTTTTACTGTACTAATCTTTACTGTACTGCAATCTTTCAGTAATCATAAAGTTATGCAAAACTTTCCCAACATTAAAATCGTAAAGCCTTCTCTTCGCAACCACTTTTCACTCTCCAATCCAAGAATTACTCACTTTTTCTCTCGCGATTCATTTGTTTGATAGGTAAATGTCTTTTCTCTTTCACTTTTTCCTTTTCTTGATTTTCCCTTTTCTCATTTTCATGGGGGGTAATCCACTGAATAAACATCAATCGACAAGGGAAAAGAATCAGAAGAAACGGAGCTCATTTGCTGTAATCTGTATCTGTAACCGACACCAAATTCTACCCTATTTTTCCTGGCTCAACTTTGTTCACGGCATCATCATGTCTAGAACTTATAATCTTTCTTATAATCTTCTAGAACTTTCTAGAATCTTTCTAGAAGTTATAATCTTTAAACCTACCGTAAATACTGTAATAGTACCCCACCCCCCTCGTACAATCGCGTCGTCGCTAGTCGCAAAAGTTTTTTAGTATTTTTCAAAGCGCCCGTACTTTCAAAAAATTCGTCTTTGATATCAAAAAATAGCCCTGAATCTCAGCTATTTTTTGATACCTAAGCGCGCATTGTAGCATAAACCAGTGTCGAGAAACACTCGTTCAAAGCTAGACTACCCAACACTCCGCACCGTCATTTTGGGGGTGGGGTACTATTACAGTATTTACGGTATAATCTTTCTTCTATACATTTCTTTGTCGAATTTCTATAGATTGCTGTAAAATCTTATTTCGAAACTTATTTCAAATTTCCAGAGGAGGATGTCCGACGGCGCGTCGGCCGGGGCCCCTCCTCCCGACGATCAACAACAACCAAAGGTTCGTTTTCTATTTTACATTTAATTTTCTAAAGTTACCGTAGCCTATTCATTTAGAAATGAAAAAAGATTTCTATTCTTTAAGCTTAAGAATCAATGCCGTTTTTTTTTCACGCAATGAATGAGCTCTCCTGGCGAAGAGATTGAATTTCAAGGCATGATCTCACAAAAAGGGAGTGGCCTGGGGGAAATAAATAAATAATAGATATTCAGCCTGAATTTGCCTTTTTCGGTTTGACAATCGGGTTTTAGTGATTTTACGGAGGGTTTTCGTGTTTGTGTTTGAGAGAAGAGAGAGGGATAAGAAGGCTTTTGGCCCTACATACAAATAGACAACATTTGTCGAGATTCTGATTCGAATTGAGACGCGAAAAGGAGAGACAAATAGAGATCAGTAAAGGGAAAATCTCTCTCTTTTAAAATCTCTTTTGTTTAGGTCACAACTGATTGTGATAGGGTAAGAAGAGGAGGAGAATTTGGAGAGACTTTCAAATGAAATCCGATCCTCTCTTCCATCAATCTTCAAGGAGATCCTAAAGAAAATTGTGGGGAATAGACTGGGGGTTTTTGAAAAGCTTAAAACATAGAATTTAAGCTATTGAATCAATGGTATAGATTGGGATTTTGAAAAGCTTAAGAAATAGAAATCAAGATATGGAAAATAAGTGGTGGAAAAGCCAGAGCTAGAGTGGAAAAGCCTTTGAAATCAAAGCCAATCAACTTGAAGCCAAGTTTCAATTGAATAAGAAAACCAAACAATAACATTTAACTAAATAATAGAAATCATCAATCCTTTCCAAATTCCCATTTCCAGAATGAGGGCAGTGCAGCGTTTCTGCGAGCGGCTCGAGCGGGTAATCTGGAGAAAGTTCTCGAATTGCTCCGTGCTGGCACAGACATCGACACATGCAACGCGAATGGGCTCAACGCTTTGCATTTGGCCAGCAAGGTAAAGCTTTTGAATTTTGACTTTGAATTTTGACTTTGAATCTTGACTCTGAATCAATTCCAAATCAATTCCAAATCAATTCCAAAACAATTCCAAAACAATTCCAAATCAATTCCAAATCAATTCCAAAACAATTCCAAACCAATTCCAAAACAATTCCAAATCAATTCCAAATTCAACCATTTCCAGGAAGGTCATCAAGAAGTAGTGAGAGAACTGCTGAAGCGTCGTGCCACCGTCGACGCTGCTACTCGGGTTTGGTTTAATAGAAAATCACCTACAATTAGATAAAGTACCAATATTTCATGGGGATTAGATAAAATAATCTTACTGGAATCTAGCCAGAGTTTAATTCCCCAAATTTCTTTAGAAAGGCAACACCGCTCTCCACATCGCTTCATTAGCCGGTCAATCACTCATCGTAACGATCCTTGTCGAGAATAGCGCTAATGTAAATGTGCAATCATTGAATGGTTTCACTCCACTCTACATGGCTGCCCAAGAAAATCATGAAGAAGTAGAAAAGATCACTTTGATCAGATCTAAGAATCGTTTTAGGTTGTGCGCTATTTATTAACGCATGGAGCGAATCAAGCACTCTCTACAGAGGTGAGGCAATGAAAGAAATAGGCTTAGAAACAGACTTAAACAAATATTATTGATCTAAAATCAGATTGAAGCATACAGAAGCTTGTCTTTTGATCTAATTCATGTTTTTATCGATTCTCTGAAGAAAATGCTAGTTTAAGTAAAACTAGGCAAAACTAAAAGACTCTCAAGGGAAAAGAAAGGAAAAGAAAGGAAAAGAAAAAGGGGAAAAGGAGAAGAATCCCATTTTTCGTTCTTTCTTGGTTTTCCCCCAGGGAAAACCTCGATTTACAAGGCTCAACAAAGAAGGAAATCCGTCGAATCCCTTTCTAACAAAAGATACGATGTAGAGACGATATAAAAGCTTTATAATATAAAAGCTTTATAATATAAAAGCTATATAATTTACAAACTAAACAATAAGATGTAGAAAACTATGTAGAAAACTAGAGATACTCAATTAAAAAATAAAAATCTTAGGACGGTTTCACTCCATTGGCGGTAGCGCTTCAGCAAGGACACGACAAAGTGGTCGCCATTTTACTCGAAAACGAGAAAAGTGGAAAGGTTTGTGAATAGAAGAATGAATAAATGATTGATTCAATTCCATTTGCATATAGATTACCTACCGTACACACTGTAATAGTACCCCAGCCCTATAATGACGGTGCGGAGTGTTGCGTAGTCTAGCTTTGAACGAGTTTTTCTCGACACTGGTTTATGCTACAATGCGCGCTTAGGTATCAAAAAATAGCCCTGAATCTCAGCTATTTTTTGATACCTAAGCGCGCATTGTAGCATAAATCAGTGTCGAGAAACACTCGTTCAAAGCTAGACTACGCAACACTCCGCACCGTCATTATGGGGGTGCGGTACTATTACAGTATTTACGGTAAGTTATTCAATTAGCAAAATTACATTACAGGTTCGTCTTCCCGCCTTGCACATCGCTGCAAAGAAGAACGACACAAAAGCGGCCACGCTGCTCTTGCAGGTGATTTTTATAGGTTTTACAAGTTTACTAACAGCTTGTATTGATCTTGAGCTCATTTATTGTTCACTTTTCTAGAACGAGACGAATGCTGATGTGACGTCGAAGTCGGGCTTTACCCCACTCCATATCGCGGCTCATTATGGGAATGAAGAGGTGGCTCAACTCCTCATCGAGAGAGGCGCCAATCCAAACTATCAAGCAAGACACAACATCAGGTAATTGACTTTATTTTTAATAGATTTTTTCAATAGATTTCTTTTCAATAGATTTATTTTCAAAATTCATTCAACTGGTCTCTATTTATGAATGCTATTATTAAGTTCTAAACAAAAGACGGGATAATTGAATGAAATTCACCAGATGAGCCCTTGAAGCTTTTGAAGAAAGATTTTGAATCGAAATTTAGAATTTTAGCATTCAAAAACTGACTCTAATTTTCTGCATGATTGATTCAAAAAATGTTGTTCCAAAGAAGAGATTTGAAAACTTTCGGGATTCAAGGAAAAGAGTGGCTTTGAGGCTACTAAAGTCCCCCCTTGTTCCTTGAAAGCTTTCATGGAAAGGGCTCTGCCTTCCCTTTATCGAATTCTTGGGGGTCAAAAGGGGTAGAGGAAGGGACAGATGGGCGCCGAAAGGACCCAATCCTTTCACTAATCGCCTCTCACAACACTCAATACACATAAGAGGGACTCTCCTTGATTGGAAAAGATCTTAAACAATGCATTGACCATCACAACAATCAGAAAAGGTTTTCTTTTGGTTCACTTTCAAGCAAAGAAAGTGAAAGAAAGCAAGGAGAAAATGAAGAAAATGAAGAGTAGTGAAGAGAATAGATCTTAATAACTGAATTGAATCTTAGATTAGATCTAATCTATCTATTGTATAAAACTATTATTTAGTCCCCTCCATGTGGCCACGAAATGGGGTCGAGTCAATATGGTAAATTTGTTGCTGAAACATGGAGCTATCATCGGTTCGTTTAATAATAGAGTTGAGCTAAAGCCAGTTATTATCTATATTAGATATTCAACAAACAAATTCAGACAGCCGTACCCGCGATCTTCTCACTCCACTCCATTGTGCTGCTCGTTCAGGTCATGATCCTGTTGTCGATCTCTTGCTTGAAAAGAGTGCCCCAATCTCGGCTAAGACTAAGGTAAGCCTTTGAAAGCCGATCGTTTTATCCAAGCTTTCTAATTCTAGAACGGTCTCGCTCCACTCCACATGGCTGCCCAGGGTGATCACGTCGACTCAGCACGGATTCTTCTCTATCATCGAGCACCGGTCGATGATGTCACCGTTGACTATTTGACTCCACTTCATGTGGCTGCTCATTGTGGACATGTGAGAGTGGCCAAGCTATTGCTCGATCGAAGTGCTGACCCGAATGCTCGTGCTTTAAACGGATTCACTCCACTTCACATCGCGTGCAAGAAAAATCGAATCAAGGTGAGGGAAACTGTAACCAGCTTCTATAAACTTCTATAAACCGTTCAGGTCGTGGAACTCCTTCTCCGTTATCAAGCATCGATCGAGGCGCAAACTGAATCCGGTCTCTCTCCGCTTCATGTAGCTGCTTTCATGGGAGCAATCAACATTGTCATCTACTTGCTGCAACAAGTAAGAGTTGAAGAAATGGTTGAAGAAAAAAATCCTATTCACTGATCAAGTAACAAATGCAGTCATTACCTTTTTTTCACTTACAGGGAGCGAACCCCGATGTTGCGACGGTTCGTGGCGAGACTCCACTCCATTTAGCTGCTCGAGCCAATCAAACAGACATTGTCAGAGTCCTGCTTAGACATGGAGCCAAGGTGAATTTCAATCTATCGCTTAAACTTCGAATCTTTCCAGGTCGATGCTCAGGCTCGAGAACTTCAAACACCGCTTCACATCGCATCGCGACTCGGCAACACAGACATTGTCGTGCTTCTCCTCCAAGCTGGCGCCAATCCCGATGCGGCGACTCGAGATCAATACACACCGCTTCACATTGCTGCAAAGGAGGGACAAGAAGAAGTGGCCGCGATTCTCCTCGATCACAATGCGAACTCGAAACTATTGACGAAGAAGGGTTTCACTCCATTGCATTTAGCGTCCAAGTATGGAAATGATAAAGTAGCGAAATTGTTGCTGGAGAGGGGCACACCGGTGGATATTGAGGGAAAAATCAAGTGACACCACTCCACGTCGCTGCTCACTACAACAATGATAAAGTGGCGTTGTTGCTTTTGGAGAATGGAGCCTCGGCGACAGCGGCTGCCAAGAATGGGTACACTCCGCTACATATTGCGGCCAAGAAAAATCAAATGGAGATCGCTGGAACACTCTTGCAATATAAGGTAAGTTGGAATTTCGGCTTAATTGTTTATCTTGTTCTAGGCGGATCCGAATGCTGTTTCTCGTGCTGGTTTCACTCCTTTACATCTCTCAGCTCAAGAAGGATTCAAAGATATGGCTGCATTGTTGATCGAGAATGGAGCACAGGTATAAAGCTTGCAAAATCTACAAAATCTACTCTACATCTATGAACTCTAGGTCGGCGCCAAGGCCAACAACGGACTCACTGCGATGCACTTATGTGCTCAAGAAGATCGGGTACCCGTCGCCGAACAACTCTTCCAGAATGGAGCTGATGTGAATGCTCAGACAAACGCCGGATACACCCCGTTGCATGTCGCGTGTCACTTTGGGCAAATCAATATGGTGAAATGGCTGGTCGAGCACGGAGCGAAAGTTGATGTAACGACGAGGGCCGGCTATACTCCACTCCATCAAGCCGCTCAACAAGGCCACAATCATTGTGTTCGATATTTGTTAGATCACGGCGCCTCACCAAATGCACAAACGGCGGTAGGTTTTAGTAGAGTGACTTTGCTTAGAAAGCTTAACTCTTGTTCTTTGTTCTCTTGTTTCTTGTTCTCTTGTTTCCTCAAGCTCTTGTGCCATCTAAGAAGAATAGACTTTTATAAGCTTTCATTAAATTCACTTCAGAACGGTCAAACTCCACTCTCGATTGCTCAGCGTCTTGGCTACGTGAGTGTTGTCGAAACACTGAAAACAGTGACTGAGACAACGGTGATCACTGAAACAACAACAGTAACTGAAGAACGATACAAGCCACAGAATCCAGAAGCAATGAACGAGACAATGTTCTCAGAATCGGAAGAAGAAGGTTGGGAAAGATTTTTGATTGTGCTTTAGTTGAAGAAGTGCTTTAGTTGATGATCATCACGCGGCTCAGCAAGCGCATGCGAAAGATTTCTCGGATCGTTTCGCGGTGGCGCTTGAGGATTCAACTGGAGTTCATCTCATTCATACAGGCGAACAGCCGGATCAGGTACTGATTGTTGAGCTAATGTTTATAAATCAATAAGCGATATGATTCTATAGCTTGATTCCCCATTTCAGATGCTTTTGAATCGTTCGGCTGAACTCGAGACAACACCGACGAAATATCAAGAACCTGATTTGGAGACTCTCATTCGATCAGCACAAGTAAGAGCTTTTCCCCTAGAAATTCTACACAAATGCTTCTGAACAGCTTTAATCTATTCAACCACCAAATTTTGAAACAGAGAAGTTCACTCACACAAAAAGCTGGCTGGCTGGCTCTTCACAAAGCTTTACAAAAAAAAAAAGACTTTAGTTGCAAGAATGAATAAATTTATAATTGAGAAACGATGTAAAATGTGGCATGATTGGGATTTAAATAGTAATAAAATTGGTTAAAGTAATAAAATGAAATCCTTTAGGCACAACCTGTTTCGATGGCTGTTCATGATCGAGGATTTATGGATGTTTCAGCTGATAATGCGCCATTGAACGCTCCACTCTCACAACCGAAGTAAGTTTTGAGAGTTGATTAAGAGTTGGAAATATTAGATTCATTTAAATGCACAATTTTTATACATAGATAAGTTTTAAACTGGGAATTAGATTCACAATTGTACCTGGAGTTCAGAAATTAACGCTAACTACCACTTTGATCAGCTTTCTTTCAAACAAGAGATACTTTGTGCTTCCACAAACGTACAAATCCTAGCACATTGAATTTCGAATGAAAATCGGGTGCGCTGGGCGTTTACAGAGAGCACAAATTACAAGTAAATCTTAAGCGTTGCTCTTGAACGAACGATAGTTATAAGCCGCCAAAATTTGAAGCTTATAACTATCGTTCGTTCAAGAGCTTGAAGACCTTATAAGCTGCCAAAATTTGAAGATCTAATGCAAAGATTTTGATATTCCTAACCGATTTTCACACTGACACATTTTCCATAAATGAACTCTTTTAAAACTCTTTAAAAACTCTTTAATCATCGTAAAAAAAATGCCAAATTGCAGCAAATTGCCATACAAGAGGTGGGTTTTGTGTTCTTGAAGTTGCTAAAGTAGTGATCGACTAGTGGAGCAGATTTGTTTGCGTAAAAGTCGAGTATTTTGAGCTGAATATCTCTGAATAGCTTTACAAGTAAAAAACTAAAAGATATTCAACATTTTACGCTTACAAATCTGATTCGTACTTTCCATCTATTCCACTCTATCTATAGCTGAATGTGAATGATATTCATTTATTGGTCTATTCCCCCCCACACTCTTCCATTTTTCCGCTTCATTTCCCTTTCTTTTTCACGTCATCCATCTGCAATTCTTGAGAGCGAGCATCCACCAAAAAATTCTCCCAAAAAATCTTTGTTTCCCTTTTTTTGTGAATCGTTGTGTTTCGTCAGGTTTTTGTGGCATTTGGGAAAAGAAAAATGGATCATAAATTGAAGGTAAAAATAGATTAAGAACTTCTGGAGGAAGTTCAAACATAGCTTCGAAAGTAGCTTCGATTTCCTTCAAAAGTTATCGTTCGAAACTTCAAAACTTATCGTTAATAGAAATCTTTTGATTTTGAGTCAGATAACTCAAGATATTTAGCAAATCAAGCTCAAAAATTTGGCTTGACTTGAAAAAGTTCAATTCATAAGTTTGTTTTTGATCAAGCTTCTCAAGATCAAGCTACTCAAGATTAGCAAATCAGATACGAGATCTATATAGCTATAGTATAGCAAGTACAGCTATAGATAACTATAGTACAGCTATAGGTAGCTATAGTACAGCAAGTACAGCTATAGACAGCTATAGACAGCTATAGTAAAGCTCAAGATCAAGGTGAGCCTGTAAACCAGCTCCTACAACAGAATTCAACAATTACTTGACTTGACTTGAGCCAATTACTCTTAACTATTTGCCACTTTTCTCCACTTTGAACCCTTATCCTTTGACTGTAGTAACTAGAGTTGGAGAACATGAGATCGGATCGAATTTCCATCTTTTCCCCTTCCCCATAGTAGACGCAACATGTGGAGTGACTTTAGACGGCCAAGTTTTGCCTCTTTCACTCTTTTTTTCGATTTCCCTTTCCCAAATCTCCTCCCGGTTTACAATCCAGATGTAAACGGATCCCGAGATGAGCCAAGATTTCGCGTTTTTAAGAAAAAGAGAGGAAGAATTAGTGATGTTCCCATTGGCAAATGATCACATTGAGAAAGGGTTACTGAAGAAGGACCCTGCTATGCAAATGAATTTCATAAGATTTACAAATCCAATAGACTCTGAAAGTTTGTCCAATAGCTGTCTGATGAAGCTTCTAGTTAAAGCTTAAAGCTTCTAGTTAAAGCTTCTAACTGTAAAAGGTTAATCAGCAGGTTTAGTTAGATTGGAGTAAGTCTAAGATCTAAAATTTTGAATTTCAGAAGATCAAAGTTTTCGTTTTCTAAGATTTAAAATCAAAGTTTTAGCTTGAAAATCTGAAAACAAAGAACAAAGAATTCTTAAGGATTTTGATTTCCCATGGGAATATGGAGGCAATTATAGGTTCTAGGTGTTCTTGGCGGAATCTGGAGAACAGGAAGAAGAATTTGAAAGAAATCGAAAGAAAGAAATAGAAGAGAAGGAGGGAAGAGATGGGAAGAGATAGGGGAAAAGAAAGAGAGAGTGGTGAAATGGAGGTGATTATGAGAGCGCTGTGGGGATGGGAGGAGAGCGGCGGAGATCTCGACGAGAGATTTGTCTCTTCCCCTTCACCGATCACTCCATATCCCTTTCGATTTCCTCATCACCCCCCGATTTGTACGATCCGCGTTTATCGAAGCGATAGACTAGATAGATCTAGCTGATAGACTTTCCCCCGAACGAGCCGACAACGACCCAATTCATCTCACTCACTCCAAAACACCCATTGCTGACATCTAGAAAATATTACCTGTTTTGTATTACCGAAAACGACTTTATCTTTTCACTTCTCTTTAACTTATCACCATGGTACTCCAGAAAAAGTAGGTTCTCTTTGTCAACAGCTGCAGAGCTGTCAACAACAACACCACAAAGATTATCTCCCCGGGATTCTCAGTTATCGTTTTGTAACAGTGTTGTATATGTCGATGAATTCAAGTTCAAACATTTAATGCTCACCTTTCAGCTTCTTGATCTCATTTGTGGTTGATGCTCGGGGTGGAGCGATGCGTGGATGTCGACACTCGGGTGTTCGCCTCATCGTTCCACCACGGAAAGCCGGTCAACCGATTCGTGTCACTTGCCGCTATCTCAGAAAGGTTTTTGTCAACTTTTTATTCAAATTTTCATAGCTATTGTACCGAAATTCGTTGTTTAATAAACTTTTTTTTGGTTAAACAAAGCAAATTTTCAGGACAAACTCGCTCATCCACCTCCATTGAGCGAAGGTGAAGAGCTCGCTTCAAGAATTTTAGAAATGGCTCCAGCTGGAGTGAAATTCTTAGGACCTGTCATTCTTGAGGTAAACAAAAAGCATCAATAACAGCTTTTAAATCAACCTCTTAGGTTCCCCATTTTGCCTCGTTGCGCGATCGTGAACGAGAGATTGTGATTCTTCGATCAGATGATGGACAACATTGGTATGACAAATGTACAATAAAATGTAAAATAAAGATTTATAGGAAAGAGCATCAACTAGAAGCAACAGAGGACGCTGTACAAGAAGTGTTGAATGAATCATTTGCTGCTGAAGAGCTGTCAGCGTTGGACGATCTGAACACACCGAGAATCACCCGCATTCTCACCAACGATTTCCCTATGTATTTTGCTGTGGTGACACGCGTTCGTCAAGAGGTAACGAGTTTCGAATTCAAAATTTCGGTACTTTCTTGTTAGCCGCAAAATCCTGAACTGTTAATCTGTTTAGTTTAATGTTTAGTTTAATTTAAACTTTAAAAGACAATGAAACTATTGTGGTTTGGGGTTTTATATTTTTTTCTTAAATCTTCTTTCCCAAAAACTTAAACCCATTTATCACATTTTTAATTTTTCTTCTAATCCCTTTCCATTTTTTTTAAATTTTTTTTTTTCTTTTTTTTTTTTTTGGTTTTTGGTTTAAAAGAAAAAAAAAAAAAAAAAAAAAAAGAAAAAAAAAAAAAAAAAAAAAATAACAAATATATAAAAAAAAAAAAAAAAAAAAAAAAAAAAAAAAAAAAAAAAAAAAAAAAAAAAAAAATAAAAAAAAAAAAAAAAAAAAAAAAAAAAAAAAAAAAATATAAAAAAATATAAATTTATAAAAATTATAATAATATATTAAAATATTAAAATTTATTAAAAATTTTAAAAATATTTTTTTATTTTATCAAAATATACCAAAAAAAAAACAAAAAAAAATAAATTAATAAAAAAAAAAAAAAAAAAAAAAAAAAAAAAAAAAAAAAAAAACAAAAAAAAAAAAAAAAAAAAAAAAAAAAAAAAAAAAAAAAAAAAAAAAAAAAAACAAATAAAAAAAAAGAAAAAAAAAAAAAAAAAAAAAAATTTTAAACAAAAGAAAAAAATTTTAAAAAAGACAAAAAACCAACCCAATATTTAGGTGCATTGTGTGGGTCCTGAGGGTGGAGTGATCATGTCAACAGTGGTACCACGTGTACAAGCAATTTTCCCTGACGGATCTCTAACGAAAACGATCAAAGTCTCACTCCAGGTACAGTCGAATCATCGGTACTGATGATTGATTTTAACTGCTGATTGATCATTTCAAAGCAATTAGTAAAGAATGAAACATAAACAACTCAAATTCAGGCTCAACCAGTCCCACAAGAGATCGTCACTCGTTTACACGGAAATCGCGTGGCTGTTTCGCCGATAGTCACCGTGGAGCCAAGAAGAAGAAAATTCCATAAACCGATCACTCTTTGCATTCCGTTGCCACAAAGCAATAATCGGGTAAGATCTTGAAAGGTTATTAAGTCTGTAAAAAGCTTTAAAGCTTTAAAGTTTAAGTAGTTAGCTTTAAGAGCTACTTAAAGCTTTAAAGTCTTGAAAATAGCTGTCAGCTGTCAATTTCCTAGATTAATCTAAATCAATTACACTACTTTAGGGAATGTTAACGCAATACTCAAGCCAACCCGGTCAAGAACCGCCAACACTTCGACTCCTCTGCTCGATCACTGGTGGAAGTGCTCCAGCTCAATGGGAAGATATCACTGGCACCACTCAACTCACTTTCACTGGGGAAGAGGTTTGATTTACTAGACTTATCTGTCCTCATCTGTATTTATTTCTAGGTTTCATTCACCACCACTGTCTCCGCTCGTTTCTGGTTGATGGACTGTCAAACGCCGAGAGATGCCGCTAGAATGGCCCAAGAGGTCTACAATGAGGCGATTGCTATCCCATATATGGCAAAGTTTGCCGTCTTTGCCCGCAGAACGTTCCCTGTTGAAGGACAGCTAAGGTATTCTGAAAAAAATGAAACTTAATCATCGGAAATTTTCTAGAGTTTTCTGTATGACTGATGACAAAGAAGACAAAACTCTCGAGAAACAAGAACATTTCAAATTAATCGCCAAGTCGAGAGACGTCGAAGTGTTAAAGGGAAAGCACCACTTCTTAGAGTTCGCCGGGAATTTGTTGCCGCTAGCGAAAAGTGGCGAGCAATTGTCCCTGTATTTCTTACCATTCCAAGAGAATCGTTTGGCTTTCATGGTTAAGGTGAGTGTTGGTTTTGATGGTTGAAAGTGATTTGGAGTTTAGACGAGAAACAAAGATGACGTTGATGCGTCAACAGAAGGCCGGATCGCTTTCATGAAAGAGCCAAAGGTTGGGAAAGCTTTGTAATTATTCAATAAACTGTAAAAAGCGATACTAGAGCTTAAACTCATAGTTCATCTTACTGACAATGCTAGTTAACTGCTTCAACTCTGTGCTTTAATCGAGAGCGCTTCAATTCAATTCAAAATCGAATACTTAGCGCTGAAAACAAATTCTCTATTAGTCCACCCTAAGCTTCGCCTAAATCACTCGAGATCTTGAAAACCGCTTATCAGAACTTATCGATGTGGGGTCGGAAAATGTAGCTGACGATGAGATCTTGCGGGGAATTAGAGTGTTGAGCTTCTGTAAAAACTTAGAAACCGTAAAATCGCCATCAACTTGGCGGTGTGCACTATCAGATTAGATATTTGTTGTTATGACATCAGTCCTCTGCCCTAGATAATGCAAAATCGTCATCAACTCGGCCAATTCTTAATTTCAGATCCGCGCCGAGAACCTGCCTTCACAACAACCCATCTGCACTCTCGCCATTTCTCTTCCCGAGTACACCGGCGACGAGCCCGTGACTCAACCCCGTAAACACGAGACGCCATTCGATCGGAAATACCCCAACGCTATCGATAAAGAGATCCCATCATGGATCCATTCAAACATCATGAAACAAGTGGGCAGTGATTGGCAGAGATTAGGCCGAGTCCTCGATATCCCACATCGAGACATTCAACACATCAAGCATCAATATCCAGGAAAAGAGTTGGCAAACACATTAAAGATTTGGCTTCATCTAAAGAAATCTGAGGCCAATCCCGAGAATCTTGAGCAAGCGTTGAGACAAATTGGACGCGATGATATTCTTCGTGGGATCGCGCACGGTGAGCCCGAAGATTTGTCAACGTACACAAGTGGAGGAAGCCCAGCAATCAGTCGATCATCAGATATCTATCAAAAAGTTGAACCACCAGCATTTGTTGAAAAGAAAGAACCAAGAGTGCAACAACAAGAAGTTCATCATGAAGAGCGTGTCTTTATACCACCAGTGGCACAAATTGTTGCACAAGATGTACCTTTTACAATGGAAAAGGTTAAGGAAAGATCAAAGAGTCCGATTAAGGAACTGGTTGAAGAGCAAGAGGTTTTTGTTTAGAGGATTGACTGTAATCAGAATGTGTTTAGATCCCAGTGTCAGAAGTGAGAACAGTGGTGAGAACGGAGAGACATGTGCACGACACAGATGATGGGCCAGTCGTTGAAGAGAGAACGATCACGACAACGTATGAAGATGATGTGGCTGTGGCTGAGAAAAGAGAGGACAAGTTGGTGCCACTCACCGACGAGGAAAGGTTTGTTAGATGGGGAATGAAGAAAGATTGGTGATGCTTTAGACAACGATGGGATGAGTTGCACGCTGGTGAGGGAGAGGCTTTCACAGAGAGTGCGGAGGTGAGAAGAGATGGGGAAACTTTTTCTAAGAGATTTTAGGTCTACTCACGAGAAGAACGAATCGATGAAGAAGAGGAGCCACAAGAAGGTGGGAATTCATGCTAGAAATAGTCTAAAAGAACTCTAAGAATAACAACAATAGAACGCCAATAACGGGAGTACAATGGCGTAGTCTAACTTTGAATGTCCCTTTCTCTGCTTCAGTTCATTAAGATCAGTGATCAGCTAAGGATATCTTTAAACTTTTAAAGGCTTGATTCTAGATAAACTTATCTGAAGGAAGATAACCTTATCCAATAACGCGAGTACAATGGCGTAGTCTAACTTTGAATGTCCCTTTCTCTGCTTCGGTTCATTAAGATCAGTTATCAGCTAAGGATAATCTTTAAACTTTTAAAGGTTTGATTGTAAATAAACTTATCTGAAGATTCTAGATAACCTTATCCTTATTAAAGCATGTCAAAGCCTTCTAAATCTTTACCATTTCAAAAAGTTAAACGACCAGCAGGCCAGGCCAGCAGGCCACTAGACCACCAGGCCAGCAGGCCACCAGGCCAGCAGGCCACCAGGCCACTAGACCACCAAACGGCCATCAACAAATCTAATCAAGATAATTCTAATCAAGTCATAACTTTAAAGCCCTTAAAAAACATCTTTACAAAACCAAGATAACCTTAACATTGCTTACAGAAGATGAAGAATTGCATCACGATCGATGGGAAGACCGACATGGCAGCGAGGGATCACAAGGCGGAGAGGCAGCCTCTCTCCAAGGTAGTCCACAGCGATCATCAACCCCAAAACAACATCAACATCAACATGAGCATTCATGAATGAATTTACAATGGATTCGATTGGGATTCTAAATCAAAGAAATCGTGTTTCCAATCGAATCAACTTCTTCTGTCCTATTTATTTCTTTTTTCCCCTCCCCGATGACCTCGAAATGCTTCTAGTTTTCTTCAAACACGACGCTTTTTTTTTGCACTGCTTCTAATATTATAAACTTAGTGCTTACTAAAGAAATTACTATTGATTTCTATTTCTATTTCGATTTGGCACTAATTTTATCACATTTACAAACCTAAGCACTGCCTAGAGACACCAAATCCCTCCAAATTCTTCTTTTTCTTCTTCTTTTTCAACTGCCTGAAATCTTTGCCATTTTTTTTCTCTCCTCCCTAACTGTGTGCAATTTTTTCTGGGAATTGAGAGCCTGAGTTGGGAAAATTTAAGTTCAATCTTATTAAGTTAGCTTTTAGTTTAGCTAATATCTTGAGCTAAAGAGCTAAAGTTTTCAAGATTTTTTCAAAAATCAAATTTTCATCAACAACTTGCTCCAATCCTCCAAATTCCCTTCGACAATTTGATTTAAAATTGAATAACTCTAAAACTATCGTAATCTACATTTTATCCATTTCATTTAACAATTAAAAGATTGTTAATTAATTAAAGAACTAAGCTTAGTTCTTTAACGAATACGATCATAAAAAAAAGGAAAAATGAGATTGCGATAGTTTCCAAAGTTGCTCATCTTTTAGAAAATCAAATTTTTCAAATTCAGAAAAGAAAGACACTGTAATTTTGACTTAACTGACGCGTGCTCTTTTCATTTTTCTTAGGAATCAGTCAAGAAAATAGTTCTTTTTCTCCAACAAACCTTTTGCTGAATTCGCTTTTTTTTGGGATCGGTTTTATCAAAAAACGACAAATTTTCATCTACAAAACGACAATTTCCACTCAAATTCTACATTGATTAAACCGATTTTCTTTCAATTTTCCCCTAATAATTACCGCTTATTTGCTTCAATTTCTTTGTTTTGATTTACATTTTAATAAATGGCACCATACAAGAAAAAAAATAGTCGCAAAGAAATGAAATGATCAGAAAGTTATGAAATGAAGAGAGGCATCTGTGAGTGAACATCTCAGTTGATGTTGATAAGCCACCATTCAGTCGACAGGACTCTCCAACGATTCGTCGACGGGATTCTCCATCTCTTCCAGCAATTGTTGATGATGTTCATAAGCCACCATTCAGTCGACAGGACTCTCCAACGATTCTCCAACGATTCGTCGACGAGATTCTCCATCTCTTCCAGCAATTGTTGATGATGTTGATCAGAAAGTTATGAAATGATCAGAAAGCTATGAAATGAACATTTCAGCATCTGTGAGCGAACATTTCAGCTCATAGATTCAAGTCTAAATGCGAGTCAGTCTTATGCGAGAAATGAAAATTTGTTGTAAATGAGAAACGAAAAAAGAAGAGCTTGTGGTGTGCGTGTTGTGGTGAGTGCATTTGTGGAGAACAGCTGTTGGATTGGAGATGGAAAAAAGTGGGGAAGAAAAGAGCCATGCGATCATCTCTCCAACTACTGCATACATACTTTTGAAAGCTCTTTGGACCTCTTTGAATGTTGTGAATCGTTTTTTCCCCATTCGTCTCATCTGGCTCAACGTCAATGGACCTTACCTCTCCAATCACTTCCGATGAATCTTTGAATCAAAGCCCTCAACCAGATCAATCCCGAAATTCTCCACCCCTTCCAGCAATTATTGATGATGTTGATCAGCCACCATTCAGTCGACGGGACTCTCGCCTCACAACATCTAAAAAAAGCCGCATCCGATGAAACTCGATCTCAACCATCACCCATTCCAAATCCAAATTCAAGATCCAAACAACGATCCTCTAATCAACATTGCTATGTGATCCCAATCCACCCATCTACTCCCTCTCCGCTAAGCCCCGCCCCATCCCTTTCCCATAACGACCAGCAGGAGCCATTTGTTGTCCCCCCGAAATCCTCAGCACCCCAAGAAATCCAAGCCGAGCCTGTGCTAGCCGACCTTTTATTCACGCTTCGTCAGCTAAGAATGACGCAACCGGATCGACATCGCGAGGCTGTCGAGCGGTTACGGGAATTGGAACAAGAGTTACGCGAAGCTGGAGCAGTTTGTCCACCCGATCCGGCAGTGGCTGAGGCTGTGGCACGGGCGTTGGCCTCGGCCACGCCTGGGCACGATCTTCAAATCCGGGTGAATCAGTCGAGACACACGACGACCACGAAAACCGTCTATGAGACGGAAACGCCGGGAATGCTCGGCTTGTCAGCGGATCACATTCGTACATTCCATCGACAAATGCTCGACAGTTTGGGTTTGTTGGTTCGCTGAGAAAAGTCTTATAAAGCACATTTGTTTATGGTTAAAACGAGTTCTTAAAATTCTGATCTGATCATTCTTTGCGATTATTTTACATGGTGTCATTGGGAAAGTTGAAATTTTTGGTTTGGATCTCTGGTTTAAAGTCTAGGCTCAGGCTCTATCTTTATCTAGGCTTTAACGGTAAATTCGCGTTTCGAAAACGAAAACTGACGAAAACTACCAAGAGATTGTCTACCCGATTCTCTGATTCTTTCGCGACCAAATTTTCCTCACACATGTCCGTGAGAACTTTGATTCTTGTTTCCCCCAAAAGCTGACGTTTCAAGCTTTCAAATGAACTCTCATATGAACTGGTAATATTGTAGACGCTTTTCGCTTAGATTTCGATGATTTTTCAAGGGATTTCAAATGGATATTTCGAGGGGTTCTAATGGACATCTCTAAATTTACCAAAGGCAAATCAATAGGCGAGGGATTCACCCCTCTTTCCCCTCGATTTTCTTTTCTTTCCTCTCGTTGTCCACTCAAACAGTTTAAAGCTGAGAAAGAGAACACTCTCCAAGGAGAAAAGAAAAGAGGAAAAGAAAAGAAAAGAAGAAAAGGATTTTTCCGGATCTCGAGGATTTTTCCCATCTTTTAGTGCAGTCAATTTTTGGCTTGTAGGCTTAGGCTGTAAATCGTGAATTTTGTGAGGTTTAAGATCTTGTATGTAAATCCCAAAAATCGAGCACAATAATCGCTTTCATTCACCTCTAATTTATCTAATTTCAGCTTCTGGCACAACCTCAGACTCCCACGTCGAGTCAGGTTCGTTTTTCATGGGCACAAATGCTTCTCACTAACATTCTTGCTTAACTCTATCAAAATATTTACGGATTTCTTTGATGATCGATCAACTAGAGTACATTTCTTTTGGCTAATCGTCTGCTAAAAGACGTCTATGTTGGGAAATTCTCGTATTCAAACTGTTTGTTTACACTCAATTAGCTAAATTTGATCTTATTCTATGGGGATTCACGAGATTCTGTTAATGAGATTAAATTTGATTGTATTCTGATTGTAAACTGACAGCTTAATTACAAGAGTTTGCTAAAATAGGTTTTGGAGAAAGCTTTTGGAGAAAGCTTTTGAGGAAAGCTTTTGAGGAAAGCTTTTAAAGAAAGCTTTTCGAGAAAGCTTTTGGAGAAAGCTTTTGGAGAAAGCTTTTGGAGAAAGCTTTTCGAGAAAGCTTTCATCGAAAGGAACACACTTAATAATCTATCAATTGAGTAGTTTATTCTCATTTACTCATAACCGTTTGTTAAAAAGTAAAATCACAAAGTTTCAGGCACTACCCAGAAGAGAGAGACAGCCGAAGAGGGATTCACTGATGAGGACGGGGCGTTGGTTGTGAGCAAAAGAATGACACGACTCGTCACTACGACTAGGAGTGCACTGCCTGGTGAGTTGAGAATGAAATTCTTCTAGATTTTATAAACAATAACTCTTGGGAGTTAAAAAGTAGTCATGTCACTTAATTTATATACCGTAAATACTGTAATAGTACCGCACCCCCATAATGACGGTGCGGAGTGTTGCGTCGTCTAGCTTTGAACGAGTGTTTCTCGACACTGGTTTATGCTACAATGCGCGCTTAAGTATCAAAAAATAGCTGAAATTCAGGGCTATTTTTTGATACCAAAGACGCATTTTTTTGAAAGTACAGGCGCTTTGAAAAAAATGAAATACTAAAAAACTTTTGCGACTACGCGACTGTACGAGGAGGGTAGTGCTATTACTGTATTTACGGTATATATAAACCTTCAAAGCCTTTTTTTTACCTAGAAAAGTCTACTAGGGGGAAATTTACATTTATTCTGTTTTGAGTGGCAGAGGAAAGATCCAAAAAACGAAAACTCGAGAAAGTTAAGATTTTAAAATTTGTTTTAAGTAAAAGCAACGAATAAAAGCTAAAAGATAAAAGCATTTAAATGAAGAATCAATGAATAATCAATGATTCCAGGTGAAAGCGAGGCGAAAGAATCCGGTGAGTGATGGAGAACTCTTCATCTTCTCTTCTCTCCAATCCACATCACAAAAATTTCGAAAATTTCCAAAAATTCTCACTACAAATCGTATGAGAATGACTTATTTTTCAAGAAAATAAGTTTAACTTTTGCTTTTTTTAACAAAATGCTTAGTGAAAGAATACCGTATTTTTTTTGAATAGAAGACCGGGTAAAGAGTATCATCGCGTATTCCTGGGTAGCAGCTCTTTTTCTGCATGCGTAGCAGCCCTTCTTTTCTGCATAAAAGCTTTCAATGAAGTGCTATAGGGCTGGAAAATGACTCAAAAATACGACATGAGCTAACAGATTTTTGAGTCATTTTCCAGCTCTATAGCACTTGATTGAAAGCTTTTATGCAGAAAAGAAATTTTGGGCTGCTACGCATGCAGAAAAAGGACTGCTACGCATGCAGTAAAAGGGCTGCTACGCAGGAGTACGCGATGATACTCTTTACCCGGTCTTCTATTCGAAGAAATAAGGTTGATTGCTTTAAAGTAAAATTATGAACACTTTGTTGTGGATATTTGTAAGTGAAAAGTGAAAAAGAAATATGGTGAAATAAACCCACCTGTTTGTTGTTGTTTTTGATGTCGTTTTCCCGCTATACTTTTCAGTGGTGGTGGTGGTTAGTTTTCATGCTTTAGTTTTCTCTTTTGCTCTTTTACTCGCTTTCCTTCTATTTTCAGTTATGCTTGCTTTTAGTTGCACAATTTTTCAGTTTTTTTTCAGTTAAACATTTTCTTTGAGGTATACTTTTGGTTTAAAAATGGAGCTGTATCCTTTCTAGTGCACCTAGTCATTTCTAGCGCACTTATTCATTTCAGTTATCAATAAATCAGTACACCAGATAGGATTCGTTTCCATTTTCAAGCACAAAGTATATCTTTAAAGCTTGTCAACGTTGAACTAACCAAAAAAAAAAAGGCTGATCATTTTGCAAAATATTGATATTCAATGTTTATAAAGTTCTATCACTGCCAAAAGCAAATATTCGTTTTTAACTGGATTAGATGAATGTTTTGATTCGATTTTTGATATCAAAATACTCAGCTAATCAATTGTTAACCAATTTTGCTTTCTTTTTGTGTTGTTCTTCTCATTTCGAGGGTGGCTACTTTGCGGCAATTTTTGGCGCAACTGGATCATTTGCGCAAATCACCATAACTTTCTTCCAAGTGGACCAATCTTTATGATTTTGGTGTCATTTTGTTACACTTATTGAGATCTACAAAATGTAACCAAATTCATAAAGATTAGCTTACCTAGAAGAAAGTTATGGCGAGTTGCGCAAATCATTTGCACAAATCACCATAACTTTCTTTTAAGTGGATCAATCTTTATGATTTTGGTGTCATTTTGTAGATCTCAATAAATGTAACAAAATGACACCAAAATCATAAAGATTGGTCCACTTGGAAGAAAGTTATGGTGATTTGCGCAAAAGACCTAACTGCGCAAATGACCCAGTTGCGCAAAAAATTTGGCGCCAATTTGCCGCAAAGTAGCGCCCTCATTTCCTTTAGTTCTGTCGTGTGGTTACTCCCAGTTTTCATTTTCTCACACTCACCAAATTTATGCAATTTTCCAAATCGAAAAAAAAGCTTCGCTAATAATCGTTTTCTATTTTTTGCACACGGGAAAATGAGCTGAAAATTGATTTTAAAAAATCGTACCGTAACACTTGTAGCTAGTTCTGTTACAAAACTTACGATAGATTCGATAGATTCGATAGATTCGATAGATTAGACATTTCCACTTAAAGCTCATGTTCTCAATCAAATTTTCTTTCAAATAACATCCTCAAATACGGCAAATGAATACAAAACTTATAAAGACATTGTCGATTTTATAACACAGATACACAAAAGAGTTGAATGGTACAGAAAGAGTTGAGAAAACGATGTTTATAAAGATGTTTATAAAGATGTTTATAAAGTACTTCTTTAAGAGTACTTTTGCGTACTGTTTTTGGTATCTTTCCCGGTCAATTTTCTAGGAAATTGAAATTTGGAAGTTGAAATTTGGAAGTTGAAAGTTGAAAGTTGAAATTTGAAAGTTGAAATTGAAATTTGTAAGTTGAAAGGTTCACTAATCGACTGTGGGTACTTGCAAATCCTTTCTTCACCTTTTTTCTATACAAATTTTGAATTCGCTTATATGAAAATGTTATTTCACCAATTCTGAATCGACATTTATAATGGCTGAGAAATGATTGTTGAAATGAACAAAAGTGATGTTTATTTTAAAGTAATGGCACACAGAAATTTCTCCATAGGTAGGCTTTTCTTGTTTTGAAAAAAAGAGATAACAAATTTCTTCTGCGCTAGATGAGCTTCTGCGCCATTTCGATTTTTCAAGGACAAAGTAAGCCTTGTAGTTCACAAAGTAAACCTTGTATTGGGTTGGGGAGAATGAGTCGGCGCCGAAATTTAAAGAAACTTTTTGCACCCATAAAACCTTCTTTAAATACACGTTTTGTTTCATCAAAATGGTCGACTATTTCTTTACAAAATGGCTTTTGAGAGATTCCACAAAGCTTTTCTTTTTTGGGATTTTATTGATTCCCAAACACAGCTAATCAAAATGACAAAAAGTCCGACTCATTGCTTGAATAGTTTCTTCCACATAAACCTCCTTTGGTGTTTATATAAAAAAGATAGAGCACACTCAATTACATAAGTTACCAAATTTTCAGGAAGATCCCTCCAACCGTTTACTCTAGATGACAGTTTATCGATTTTGTGAAAAAATGATCCTTTGTTGAGTTGAGGCGCTGTTTGAGTTCTCTTTTAAATATTATTTTGTAGAGAATTAGTTACCCTTCTACGGATATCAAACGCATATCATTTGACAAAGTCTGCTATAAGTTTTAGAAATTTCTTTGATTTTCGGCGCCGACTCATTCTCCCCAACCCAATAGTTTACAAAGTAAGCCTTGTAGTTCACAAGGTTTACTTTGTGCTTGAAAATCGAAATGAATCTCATCTAGCGTAAATGTTGAGGTAAAGCAAAGTTTTTTTTCTTTTCTAGTACTGCATCTTTAAAGCTTTAAGAATCGATCTCTTTTCTTTAAAGCTTAAAATATTCATCCTTGGTCGGCTGAGTATTACAGATGAGACAGAACATATTGTAATTTACAGTAAACTGATCGATTTAGAATTATAGACAGCTAGAAATGATCTAAAAAAACTCAAACAATCAATAAATCAAATTTACAAAGCTTTTCTTTACAATGTTAAACGGGTATTCGCTTTCATTTTTGCACACACAAACAAAATCGTGAAATCATTGTGATAGTTGTTGTAAAATGTTGTAAAATGTTGTAAAATGTTGTAAAATTGAGTTGAAATTGAATTGAATTGGAATTGAATTGGAATTGAATTGGAATTGAATTGGAATTGGATTGGAATTGAATTGGAATTGAATTGGAATTGAATTGGAATTGAATTGGAATTGAATTGGAATTGAATTGGAATTGAATTGGAATTTTTTATTTTATGTATAATTGTAGTGATCATAATTTAAGAGAAAATTGAGAAACACACCTTTTTTTGGCGTGCCAAAGAAACGGCTTTTCTTTTAATTAACATTTAATGCAGTAGAAAGGGTGCGTTTGAAAGGACAAATTACTCAAAAACAAATCTAGAGTACAGAGCTCCTCAATTTACAAATCCTTTGTTTTCAGTTTTCGCACAATTCATTTTTGCTTTCATATCTTTATGTTGTGCAAAGTAAAATTGTTTTCTTTTAATGTCCTTAGTTGTCCTTCTAATGTCCTTAGTTTAGTGGTGTGCTTTGGGTGGAAAGGTTTACTAGTGTGTGAATTAATAATTTGATTTCAATAAGTGTTAGATCAATCTTTCAATAAAGCCCGCTAACTGCTTGACTTAAAAATTCCAGTTATTTAACTGCTTAGCTTGGAAATCCTAGTTGTTTAACTGCTTAACTTGAAAATTCCAGTTATTTAACTGCTTAACATGAAAATCCCAGTTATTTAACTGCTTAACATGAAAATACCAGTTATTTAACTGCTTAACATGAAAATACCAGTTATTTAACTGCTTATCTTAAAGATCCCAGTTATTTAACTGCTTATCTTAGAAATCCCAGTTATTTAACTGCTTAACTTAAAATTGTTATCATTATTTAGTCAATAAAGCTAACTACCTTTTATTTCTTTAGAGAAATGAAAGATATTCAGTTTTATTGGCTGGGGATTTTTATTTATTCAAGAAACTAGGATCTCATTGTTTTGCTCAATTCAGTAAAAAGATGTGGATTGGTGAGTTGAAAGAGTAAAAGTGATAAACTATAAGGCATTGTCAGTTGAATAGGTTTTAGTTCAGTTTTCAGAAGTAAACTAATAGCTTACTGTGTACAATTGCTGAGAAAGTTCACCTAAATTCATCAAAAATTAAATTTAGAATCACCGACTGAATCGCTGGGATCGGTGAAAGATAGGATCGCAATTTTTGAATCGATCGCTCAAGAAAAAGAGACCTCGCCACCAAAAGAAATTATCGTGAAAAAAGATGATCATTTACCCGTTGAGATCATCGTTACACCGATGACACCAACTCCGAGAGATTTCGATGAGAAACATGAGGAAACATTTGAACAGAAAAGTCTTCAGAAAGAAGAACCCGTGACATCTGAAGAAGAAGTGGAAGAAGAGGATGAACACGGGAATGTTCGGAGAGTGATTCGGAAGAAGAGAATCACCGAGAAGTACACGAGGACAGAGTTCCATATTCCGGGAAGAGAAGGTCGTGAAGCTGAAATTGAAGAAGTTGAGCCTGTTGGAGTTGAAGAATCTGTTGTTGCTCAACATGGAGAACCTGCTGAATCGTCTGAAGAAGAAGTTGAAGAAGAGGATGAACACGGGAATGTTCGGAGAGTTCTTCGGAAGAAGAGAATCACCGAGAAGTACACGAGGACAGAGTTCCATATTCCGGGACGGAGAACTGAATTTGGTGATGAAGCAGAAGAAGAAGAAGAAGAAGAAGAAGAAAAAGGAGAAAAACAGTTTCAAGAATCGCCTGAGCCACATTTGACTGAGACTGAAGATCGTCAAGAAAAAGAAGTTGCACCTGAATTGAAAGAGGTGGAGGAATCGGTGAAAAGTGCTGAGATTCGAGTCTCACCTCCAGCTTCAATTTACAGAGAAAGTCCATCTGATGAAGAAGAGAGAATTGAGAAAAGGATAGCTGAAAAGTCCTTTGGAAGAAAGACATGAATTTGTTGAGACTGTTGAGAATGTCGAGTCTCCAGTGGAACAAGTCAAAGAAAAGCCTTTAGCTGAAACACCAACATCTGAAAGATCTGAAGAAGTGCATTATGAACAACAACAATATCAAGATGAACATGAAAAGGAGAAATCATTTGGAGAAAAGTTAAAAGGGTTTGGAAAGAAAGCTGGAATGGTGGCTGGAGCTGCGGTGGCTGCTCCTGTTGTTCTAGCTGCTTATGGAGCAAAGAAAGCTTATGATGCTTTTGAGAAAAGAAATGAAGGAGAAGAAGAAACAGAAGAAAAACATCAAGAACCTGTGTCTTCACCAAGAGATGACGAACGAAGATATTCGAAGCCTTTAGCTGAAACACCGACTTCTGAAAGATCTGAAGAAGTGCATTATGAACAACAACAATATCAAGAAGAACACGAAAAGGAGAAATCATTTGGAGAATCTCCAGTTGAAGAAAGGGCTCAAATGGCTGAGTACCCCGCAGAGTTTGAGAAAATGAAAGATGAAGAAGAGGCATCGATCAAGTCTTTGAAATCGGCTACTCCAGCGGAATCATCTGTTAGAGAAGAAGAACAGGAACAGGAATCAGCCGAACCAGTTGAATCATCTGAAGAAGAAGTGGAAGAAGAGGATGAACACGGAAACATTCGACGAGTGATTCGGAAGAAGAGAATCACAGAAAAGTACACAAGGACAGAGTTCCATATTCCGGAAAGAGAAGGTCATGAAGGAGCTGAAGAAGAGGTCAGAGAAGCGCTTTTAATTGAAAAAGATGAATCACCGAACGATGAGCAATTTGAAAGAAAACTGTCTGAAGATCGATCATCGAAAAGATCATTTGATGAACACAAAAAGCCGAGCACATCTGAGGATGAAGATGACGATAAATTTGATCGTGATGCGCCTAAAGAATTGGCTGAAGAACACCGTGAAAGAAGAGAAAGTGAGACATTTGAAGAACCGATTCATTATCACTCTGATGAGGCCATGATAAAGAAAGCTGAGATTTTGGGATCTCCACGAGAAGAAGAAGAAAAAGCCGCCTCTCCACTTCCAGAAGCTTCTCCTGAGCTTGAAGAGATGAGGGATGAGTCAAGAATTGCTGAAGTGAGAAGACTTTCTCCAGAAGGTGAGGAAGAAGAAGAGGTTGAAGAAGAGGATGAATTTGGAAATAAACGCAGAGTGAGAAGAAGAGTGACAGAAAAGTACACAAAGACAGAATATCATATACCGAGACGAGAGGATGAAGAGGAGATTGATGAAAGAGTTGAAGAAGAGAAAGAGACTCCAGCAAGACCGGTAGAACTTCTGTATAAAGAAGAGGCTGAAGAAGAGGCTGAAGAAATGATTGGCACACCAAGTGCTGAACTTTCGCCTGAATTGAAAGAGGTGGAGGAATCGGTGAAAAGTGCTGAGATTCGAGTCTCACCTCCAGCTTCAATTCACAGAGAAAGTCCATCTGATGAAGAAGAGAGAATTGAGAAAAGGATAGCTGAAAGTTCTTTGGAAGAAAGACATGAATTTGTTGAGACTGTTGAGAATGTCGAGTCTCCAGTGGAACAAGTCAAAGAAAAGCCTTTAGCTGAAACACCAACTTCTGAAAGATCTGAAGAAGTGCATTATGAACAACAACAATATCAAGAAGAACATGGAAAGGAGAAATCATTTGGAGAATCTCCAGTTGAAGAAAGGGCTGAGTACCCCGCAGAGTTTGAGAAAATGAAAGATGAAGAAGAGGCATCGATCAAGTCTTTGAAATCGGCTACTCCAGCAGAATCACCTGTTAAAGAAGAAGAACAGGAACAGGATGAACAACAACAATATCAAGAAGAACATGAAAAGGAGAAATCATTTGGAGAAAAGTTAAAAGGATTTGGAAAGAAAGCTGGAATGGTGGCTGGAGCTGCGGTGGCTGCTCCTGTTGTTCTAGCTGCTTATGGAGCAAAGAAAGCATATGATGCTTTTGAGAAAAGAAATGAAGGAGAAGAAGAAACAGAAGAAAAATATCAAGAATCTGTGTCTTCACCAAGAGGTGAAGAACGAAGATATTCTAATGATGAATCAAAAGTTGAACAATATCATTATGAAGCTGAAGTAGAGGCTGAACCTTTGAAGAGATCGGTTGAGGATGAAACTGTTTCTCATGAAAGAAAGACTCCGGAAGAGGCTGCAAGATTATCAGTTGAAGAGATGCGATATGAAGGCTTTCATGCTGAACCTCATACCGAAACCGAGTCAGAAGTGGAGCATTTTGAACGAATGCCCATTCATGAGCAAGTTGTGCATCATGAGGAATCGGCTGCAGATCGATATGAATCTGAAATCAAAGAGAGACATGAAGAAACGGTTTTTGAAAGAAGACAATCCTACGAGGAGGCTGAAAGAACTCCAGAAGAACAAAGAACATTTGGTGAAGATCGGCTAGAGAAAGAGTCTGAGTATGAAGAACGATATTCTGAAAAGTATTCAGAGCCTGAAGAATCCCATGAAGAGCTTTCACAGAGAGAAGAACCAAGCCCTGAACGAATGACACCAGAAAGAGAGCCAAAAGCCGATGAATATCAAAAATTTGTCGAAGAAGAAGAACGACATCCAATTCATGAGACAATTGTACATCATGATTTTCCATACGTTGAAAGAGTAGAGAGTTCTAAAGAAGAGATTGGCGAGCACGAGTTTGTGCAACCAGAAGAGAAGATGACTCGTGATGAGGAAGAAGTGGCTCATCGTGAAGCACAACCTGTAACACCAGAAGAAAGAAGAGAGCCTCATTATGAGGATGATGCTATCGCTGAACAGAGGCCACCTTATGAAGAAGTTTCTCCTGAAGTGCGAAGATCGTTTGAAGAAGAGCCAGCTGAAGCTGTTCATTCTGGGCTTAGGTCTCGAGCCGACTCCCACGCTGAATCACAAGTTGAACCTCGTGAAGAAAAGTTCTATGAACAAGAAGAAGCAGCTCAAACAACTCAACAGGTTTCAACAACAATGTCGGAAGAAGCTGAGACTGGGCACAAGTCAGAAGAAGAGGTCTATGAGGTTGGGCATTTGGAGAGGGAGTCTCCAGAGTTTGAGGAAAAAGAAGATCAATATGTGGCACTTAAAGAAGTTGAAGCTTCGGATATGATTGAAAAGGATTCTTACTATGAACATCCAACTGGTGATGAAGAGTTACAAAAAGAAGCTGAAGAGGCAAGCCGACGCGAAAGTGAAGTCAGCGCTGTTGCCAGTGAGTCTCGTGAAGAGGCAAGCCGACGCGAAAGTGAAGTCAGCGCTGTTGCCAGTGAGTCTCGTGAAGAGGCAAGCCGACGCGAAAGTGAAGTCAGCGCTGTTGCCAGTGAGTCTCGTGAAGAGGTGATGAGAATAGAAGAACAACTAGAGTCACCAATTAAAGAGATAAGAGAGCAAGAGTTTGAGGAAAAAATAGAGCATGAGACTGAAGAGAAAGCTTGGCCGACAAAAGAAGAACATACCTTTGAAGAAAAAATAGAAGAGCATGGGACTAGTGAAGAGAAAACTTCGCCGACAAAAGAAGAAAATTCTTTTGAAGAAAAAGAACAAGAGGATGAGTCACTGGTTTCTCCCGTTGTCGAGATTCAAATCTCAACACATTTTGAGGAGCACCCAGAAGAAGAAGCCGAGTATGCTGTGGACTCTCGAAGAGAATCTGTTGAAAAGGCTTTTGACGTGGATCACAAAGAGGTACATGAAGAAGTTGGAGAAGAGGTAACTGGATTTGAAGAACATGACAAAGAATCAACTTCTGGTGAACCGGCGGTTGAACATAAAGCTCATGGATGGGCTGATGAAGAAATTCACGAAGAAAAAGCTTCACCAGAAGAAGAGTCTTTTGAATCAAAAGTACAATCTGTTGAAGAAGAGCATGAACCAAGAACGCCTGGTGAACCAGAAGTTGCGCACAAAGCTTACCCTGTTGACGAAGAGAGCTGGTCAAAACAAGAAGCAATAGAGCCAAGAGAAGCTCCACTATCACCAGAAGATCAAAGAGAAGCTGTTGGAGTTGAAAGAAGACCGTCTGATGAAAGAAGAGATTCTACAAAAGATGAGACAAGTCTCGGCGACAAGTTTACTGATTTTGCAAAGAAAGCCGGTGCTGTCATTGCCGCTCCAGCTGTACTTGCTGCATATGGAGCGAAGCACGCGTATGATTCTTTAAGTAAAAAAGATGAGCATCAAGTTGGTGAAGAGCCTCAAACTCAAGCTTTTGAATACAAGTTACAAGAAATCGAGTCGCCAGAAACAAAAACTTTAACAACAATTGAATATACTAGATTCGAGGAGCCACATGGGGAAACTTATGAAGAAACAATTGTGCAGAGAACTTTGAAAGATGTTGAAGGAGAGGAAAAGATTGTTCATGAAGAAGAAGAATGGGAAAGCCGAAGATCGTCATTAGAAGAAAGAGGCAAAGAAGTTGAGCATGAGCTTCAAGAACATGGATATAGACAGAATGAAGAAAATCAGATTGAGCGAAGGAGATCACTGATTGAACAAGAACAAGTACAAGAACAAGTACAAGAACAAGAACAAGTACAAGAACAAGAACAAGAACAAGAACAAGAACAAGAACAAGAACAAGAACAAGAACAAGAACAAGAACTTTCATCTATTGAGGAGAGGCATAGAGATGTTCATGATGAATCATTTACGAGAAAAGAGTCTCCATTTGAAAAGTTGAAGAGGAGGAGCCTGTGCAAAGAAAACTCTCGACTTCTCAACCACCAAGTCCCCTTGAACAGCAGTACTTAGAAGAAATTGAGCAAAGAAAAGAAAACCTTGCTGAAGATCAGTCTCCAGTTTCTGAGGGACCTGATAGCCATCCACAATCATTTGACGAGCTTGAAACGGTCGAAAGAGAAACCACAACTCACTATGAGACTCATTATGAAGAGCCATTACATGCTGAAGCTGAAGAAGAGAAGCCTGAACACTTGGAAGGTACTGAAACTGAACGAGAGAGCCCGATTCAGTATGATAATTATGGAAATGAATTGAAAGAGACAAAGGATGAACAAGCTGAAGATCAATCTCCGGTATCTGAAGGACCAGATAGTCATCCTGGTTCATTTGAAAAAGAAACGATGGTTAGAGAAAGCCCAACACATCTTGAGACTCATGAAGAACCGTTGAGTCCAGCTGATGAAGAGGAAAGATATCATATTGTAGAAGAGAGGACAAGAGAAGTTGGAGAAATTCAATCTCAAAATCTTGTTGGAGATGAGATTCAAGAGGTAGAAGACCGAGAATCTCATGAAGTCTTATTGAAAGATGAAAGAAAACCGTCTTTGGTTGAAAGCACAACGAATGAAGAAGTAGAGTCTCCAGCAGAACATAAAGAAAGTCGAGATAGTCAAGAGCATCAAGCTTTTGAGGAGCCAGAAAATGAATTTTTCAACGTGAGCACAGTCCTCAAGAATATGAAAAGATTGTAGCGGAAGAGGCTGAGAATAAAGAGATTTGGTCAGAAGAAAAAGAGACTCCATCAAAAGAATCAGAAGCTCATGAGGAAGCAATCCAAAAAGCTGAGTCTGAGCAATCTTTTAGTCTAGAAAAGATCGTCGAAGGACCTCAAAAGCATGGGATTTTCGATACTGATCGCAAATCTAGAGAACACGAAGAGCCGACGTTCTTAGAGCATGAAAGTGAACCACTCTACGCAGAAGAACATGAATCCCACTTTGATAGAAGTCCATCTGAAGGAGGAGATCATCAAGACGTTGAAGGTGAAGAAAGAAAAGGTTTCGGAGATCGAATGGCCGGATTTGCAAAGAAAGCGGGAATGGTTGCTGGTGGAATCATTGCCGCACCGGTAGCTCTTGCTGCTTATGGAGCAAAAGAAGCATATGAAGCTGTGAAGAAGCATAGAGAGGGACATGATGAAGAAATGGCTGAAGAAAGAGAAATTAGTGGACAAGTCGAAGAGCTTCATCACGAGAAGCCTGAACAGGAGTCGGAATTCGTATTACAAACTCCAGAAGCGTTCAGTGAAAGTCACAGAACTGTTGAAGAAATTGGTCAAGGTTTTTCCGAAGAAGAACAGCAGAAAGGAATTCTCTCTGAAGAGCATTACACACATGGAAGAGAGCATGAACATGAGTTTGTTCAAGAATCACAACATGAAGTAGAAAAAAGAGAAGCTGAGGAAACTTTGTCACCGATTGAGACTGAAAGAGTGACTCCAACAGCTTTCAGGGATCAGCTGGAATATAAAGAATTCAATCAACAACAAGATGAGCATGAACGACTGCCAGAAAAAGAGACCTCACCTGATCATAGTCAAAGATTTGTTGAAAGTCCTTTTGAAGAACACATGGCACAAGAAGTTGTTGAAATTGTGACTTCTGAGGAATTCAATGACAATGAAAAGCTTTCACAAGAAAGAAATGATGATTTTGAAAGCGAGAAAATGGTTGATGAAAGCCCGATTGAAACAAGACGGTGGCCAGAAGAGGCAGAAAGTGAGGAGAAACAAGAGATCGAGAAAACACCATCTTCTCAACAATCTTCTCAACAATCTTTTGCACAAGATCGGGAATCTGTTGCTGACGAAGAGATTCATTATGTTGTGAGCCCAATTGTGATTAGGGAAGAGCTTGTAACTGAGCCACAATTGGACAGTGATGGTTATCCGTTTGAAGAAGTGCTACAAAGTGCTGAAGAAATGGGCGGTCATCCTTCCGACGATCACCGTGAACAAGAGGCTGCTGAAGTTGAGACTCGTGTAGATTTTGAAGAGAGAATCGAGACTCCTGCTGAGACTGAAGAAGTTGAAGCTCAACCAGAATCTCCAAAACAAATCCCGAAAGCCGTTGTGGCTCCATTTGAGCACGAGGGCCAGCTTGAATATGATGAGGCCAAATCGGTGACCTCGGAAAAGAGCCAAGTGGTGGAAAGTCTTGAAGAGATTTTGCCGGAAGATGAGACTCAACAAGATCAACGAGTTTCTCATGACTCTGAACTCTTTGATCAACAATATGAGCAAGAGTTATCTAAAGAAGTTGAAAGTCAAGCGAGCCGTGATTTTGAAGAGAAAATGGCTGAAAGTCTATCAGAGAAAGGGGAGCACGAAACACACGAAGAACTCTCGGCTTACTCAGCTGTACAAAGAGATCAACCGTTAGAGTATGAGACTGGTGAATTGTCAAGAGAAAGCTCTAGACGGCCGTCAGCTTCAATTGATAATGAACAAAAGGCTGAAGAAGTTCAATTTGGAAGATCTGAGTCTTCTGAAAAGTTGGAACAAGCTCACGAAGAGGCTACCTTTCCGACAACAGAACAGGAAAGTCCAGCTCTTGCAAGTCCTACTCATTCCGATGAACAATCTATTGTGAGTCATAAAGAGAAAGTAGAACAAGCCTACGAAGAGCCTGAAGTTCTAGTTCACGAAATAGAAACACATACTGAACCTGAAACAAGGTACTCTCAAGAACAATTGGAAACCGGCTTGAATGAGCTTGAAGATCAAGAGCCAGGGAGCCCAACACAACAATCAGAGAAATCGTTTGTGAGTCATGAAGAACGAGTTGAATATCTTCATCAAGAACCAAGAGATTTTATGACACAGGCTTCCCCAGATGAGGCAAGATCAAAACACTTTGATGAATCCTATAAAGAACATGAAGAAGAACTAGGAGAGAAAGTCTTGCTCAAGAAAGTCCCACACAACCTTCTGAAAAATCATTTGCAAGTCACGTAGAGAAACTGGAATATCTTCAGGATTCAGACAATCTTTTGGTACACGAAGAACAAGAAATATATCCTGAAAGTGAAAGAGAATCAAGAGTTTCACAAGAGAAATATGAAGATTTGGAAGAGGCTCAATTCGAGGTACATCGAGAAGAACCTCAACGAGTCTTTTCAAAAGATCTGAAAGCATCTCACGAGGAAACCTCTTTGCCAGAACGAGTTCCAACTCCCGATTCTCTATCAGAAGAAAGAGTCATCTACCAAGAAGAATCCAATGAATCTGAGGGTGAAACAAGTTCTTTTGTCGACAGCGGTCATCCCACTTTGCGTGAAGACAAGCCTGGTTTTAGCGAAAAGTTGTTTGGATTTGCAAAGAAAGCTGGAATGGTGGCTGGAGCTGCTGTTGTTGCACCGGTTGCTCTTGCAGCTTATGGAGTGAAAGAAGCTGTTGGAACAATTCGAAGAAAGAATTCAAAAGGAGACTATCAAGGACTTCCAACAGAAGAGCCTGAATATCTTGTGGCATCGGAGAGCTATGAGCCGGTTGAGTATGGAATCAATTATGATGAAGAAGAGAAAATTGAGGAAGTTGAGAAGATGGATGAGATTTTGGAAGAGACTGGAGAAGAGATTGAACGAAGAACTCCTTTGGAAGAGACTGGAGAAGAGATTGAACGAAGGACTTCTTTGGAGGAGACTGGAGAAGAGATTGAACGAAGAACTTCTTTGGAAGAGACTAGAGAAGAGGTTGAACGACGTGTTCCTCTGGATGAAGCCAGTGAAGCTTCTTTGGAAGCAGCAAAAGTTCCGTTTGAATCTTTGGAAGAAGCTGGTGTCAGTGTGAAGACGAAGAGTCATCTCATTGCTTCTGAAGATTATCAACCAACAAGTGAAGACGTATCAATTCGAGAAGCCTCCACAAAAAGTCTAGCTGGTTCTGAAGAGTCATTTGATCAAATACCAAGGGAAGAAACCATTCAAACACATGTCATTCCTTCTCAGCAGTATTCTGAAGAAGAAGTTGAGAATAAAGTCGACTCACCAATTGACACGCATATCATAAGCTCATCTCCTTATCTCCAAGAGGAAGCTGATCGACCACCTGAATTCATTGATCAATTGCCTTCTGATGTCAGCACTCTTCCAGAGACAACTCATGTCATCAAATCTGAGACTTATGAAGGCGAAGATAGAGAAGATGGTGGAGCTTCTCCACCATCTTCTCCAATCGAATTTGAGCATGCTGAAAGCGAGAAAGAGTTGAGTGCAATGGATTTGAAACAGAGAATCAGCTCTATGCAAGAACCTGAAGACTCTAAAGCTCATATAATTGATTCTGAAGAATATGAAATACCTGAAGAAGAAAGAACAATGTCCCCAATTCAAAGAGATCTTATGGCAAGTGAATTCGAGATGATTCAAGAAGATGAACAAGTTGAAGAAGAGAGAGAAGAGACTGCAGAGGGTTTTGAAGTTGTTGAACAAGAGGAGATCGACGATGGAAACGCAAGAAGGCAATCACAAGGATTTACATCCACTGATGTAGATGATCAAAAAGGTATTGCCAGCGAGCCATTTGAAGATCAATTGCAAGATGTTGAGTATGAGAAAGTCGCGAGAATCTCTGCAGAATTAGTTGATGAAGTGGTCGAGGAAGCTGTTAGAGAAGCAGTTACTCCGAAAACAGAGAAACGTTTACTGAGACTCGAGTCATGGAGTGAAATTGCTGTCGAGCCTGAGGTCGACTATCAATCAGATTTACAAGAAAAACTCGATTTTTTGGCGGCTCAAAGTCGAGTCGAGCTTCCACCAGTTGATGAAGAAGATCACACATTTCAAGAAAATGATGAAGAAACAGCTGCGGGATTGTCTGAAGATTCGTTAAACACATTAGCTACTGAAATGGTTCGAAATGTGTTAGAAACTGTTGAAGAAGAGGTTCAACATGAAGAGGCAAGTCGACCCGAATCTGGACAATATGGAGAGTCAAGTCGTTCAGAAAGTGGGCCTTTGGGTGTATCAAGTCGGCCAGAATCTGAGCCATTTGGTGAGCCGAGCAGGCCAGACTCAGAACAGCTTTATGAAACAAGTCGTCCCGAATCAGGACAACTCGGGGACACAAGTCGACCAGAGTCAGGCCAATTGGGTGACTCGAGTCGGCCCGGATCCGAGCAATTGGGAGATTTCCTAACCATTCACCCAGTTAGCTCGATTCGGACTGTGGAAATCATCTCCGAATCACAACGATCAACGCCCGATGTGCCGCTGAAACTTGACGAAGATCAAGAAGATGCTCCTCCATCAGCGACTGCAAGCGGAATGTTGTTCATCCCGGATGCCGACCCAGGAAGACCGACTTCTCCGATTCCACCCCCAAGAACAGATAGCGGTTTATTCATTGGAATCAAGCAGCCCGAAGACACGATCACCGTCGAACAATGCATGACACCCGATATTTTCGAAATGCCTGAAACAAGTGACTCCTCGGTGAATCCCCTTTTGCGTAAAGCGATGCAAGAGTCGATGTATTTGAAAGGTTTTGAGTTACCTGTAAAACAACGTCCATTGCATGAAATCGAATCTCCAGATGCTTTGATGAGTCCAAAAACTGAGGACTCGTCTCCACGTGATGAAGAGATTCAGGAAATTTTGGGATCGGCTGAGTCATTAGATCGAGCGTCAGTGAAGAGTTTGGGGAGTGGAAAGAGATATAGCACGTCGAGAAGAAGCAGCAATGGAGTGTCACAACAAAGTCAAGAAGTATCGCCAGAAATCTCACCTGAAGAGAAAGCTTCTTATGTTTCGATCGAATTGAAAAAAGAAATGAATCAAGAACTCGAGCCTGAACAGTATCAAGTTGTGGAAAGTGTTGAAGAGACGACTGATGAGGGATTTGAGACTTATTCCCATGGTGATGTCGTCCCGATGGAGCCGGAATTGGAAACTGTTGAAGAAGAACCAGAAGATAACGATTCGTTGAATGGAAGTGGATCATCGAGCGCTGGACAACCAGCATCTCTTGCTTTGTTAGCCAAATATAAGCACACTTCTTCTGACAATGTCTCCGAGTCAAGTTTGCAAGAGTTTGAAAGAATTGAGAGATTGGTGAGTAGAGACGGTGGGAGTCTAACTGGTAGTGAGATTGAGTTGGGACAAGCTGGAGCCAGCTCGGCTAGACCAAGATCGATTGAAGGTTCGCTCAATTCACTTGCTGAATTTGAACGAATTGAAGCTGAAATCGCTAAAGAAGCGGTGGATCCAGAAGAGGTGATGATGCTTTCGGATATTCGAGAAGAAAGTGAAGCAGAAGATATGAGTGTTCGAGACACAGATGAGGAAGAACATGAAGCGCATACTGAGATCAAAGTTGTGCCAATCAAAGAAGAAGACGATAAAGCACTCACTCCGACAGCAATCTCCCCAGCTGATAGCATTGAGCAGATACAAATGGTGGAAACATTAGAGCCAGTGCCGGATGTGAGATTGATGGAAGCAAGCACTGATTCATTAGAACCCTCGGGACGTCAACAAGTTCATGAGCCAGCAAGGAGGGACAGCATCGAGGAGACATCACTTGAAGAATATGAAGTGATTGAGAGGATGGAGGTGTCAACGCACGATTCCCTTGAGAATCTTCCTCATGATCGTGACTCTCTTCTGGAAGGAGCCAGCCAGGAGATTGTGACGAGTCAAGAGGCGCCGATTCTCAGCCAGGACACCGTTGGCACTTATCAGGTGAGTTTTGTGATTAACAAAAATTCGAGCTTTCACAATCGAATCTTCAAATCATTCAAATCATTTTAGGAACACGAAGATCTTGATAAAGATTCGTTGGCTGGTGAAATGGACAACGTTGTATCGTCCTATGTCACCACTCTGACCACTTTTGAAACAAAACAAGTGAGTGGAAAGAAATTTAGCTTATCAAGCTCGAGTCAACAAGTTTGATGACTTCAAATTGGTGCTCTTGTTTTTAAATTGACTTTATGCAATAATATCCTGTAGGTTTAGTAATAGGAATTTGGATACTTTCGCATCTTTGCCCCGGCAACAAGTTAATGGCAAATGAATATTTTGCATCTTATTTCATCATTGAATTTTTGCATATTTATTTTAGTTTTAATATGATTTTGAATGGCTTTAAGCGAGAATTAATGAAGATAAACCTAATAGAATCATTTATATTACCTTTTTGTTACCTTTATCAAACTAGAGACATGCCGGGGGAATTTAGATTTATCCTGTCTTGGAAATTTACATTTAAGTTTAAAGTTTACATTAATCCTGTCTTAGAAATCCATATTGGCTGGCGGGGGTAAAGATTCAGAAATACCGGAATTTAAATAACTTTCTGTCTTTAGATTCGTCCTGTCTTGGAAATTTACATTTAAGTTTAAACTTTACATTAATCCTGTCTTAGAAATCTACATTGGCTGGCGGGGTAAAGATTCAGAAATACCGGAATTTAAAGGACAAATCTAAAGACCTAAAGTTATTTGTAATAAACGGGATTTTCAGATGAAAGACGATGGAACGGTGGAGACGATTTCGCGTCGAGTTGAGACTCGAGTGGTGAATCCCGTTGAGGATCATGTCACCTTTACGGGCACGGAAAACGCGGAGAGCGTCTCCCGTTTACCGGAAAGGGGACGAGTGGACACGGTGGACGAACAGGGGAATGTCACCACAACAACCGTCACTCGATCACCGTCGCATCAATAGGAAGCGACAAGAAACATGTCCCAAACATTAAATGTCGATGGGACGATGATCTCGTGCAATGCTTTAGTGAGTTTCAAGATCAAATTCAAAATCAAATTCAAACTGATTCAATTCAATTTTCAGAGGCTTGAAGCCACGCCAATGCGCCACAAGCGACTCGTCTAGTCAACTAAAATAGTCAATTTATTTTCCCATATTTCCTTGCATCTCATCTTTTTCCTTTTTTTTTGCCCAATAATAGTATTTGCAATTCTTTTTCTATTGTGTTGTGTTCTTATTTTTTTTTCCTTCAGTTATCCTTTCATCTCCCCGATTTCACACGCGTACTCTGATGAGATTGAGTAGAAAAGGGATTTGCTCATTTCGAGAACACAAACCACTTTTCGAATACCCTTTTCGAATCAATCTTTTTCTTAGCTCTTTCTTTAGTTTCACCTATTTATCTATTTGTGTACTCTTTTTTTCTTTGTTGCCCATTCATTCAATTCGCGATATTTGAACTGGTCAATGGATTTCGGTTGAGTAGATTTTTGAGCTTTATAAAGCTTTTGCTTTTTGGGGTTTTACACAACAACAACAACAACAACCACGCCAACAACCGGCACCATAATATTACCATTGTGTAGCGCTTGAAAAGAGCTTTCAGAAAATGTATAACACTAATAGTTTAAACTCAAAGACATAAAATTACACAAAATATAGCAATGTCACATATATTAAACAAAAATATGAAAATTACATAAAAAGTCACATGCGATACTTTAAAAGTCGACAGTCGACAGTAAAATACAGTCGACTATCGATTTAACGATTCTAAAAAGTGCGCAAAATTGCTTGCGTAGCTGCCCTGAACAGCCAACGATTGCATTTGACTGGGCGGCTACACAGAAACCAAGGCTGTGCTTTAGAATTTCAAAATCGTTGTATCGAGAGTCGTTAAATCAAAAGTCGACTATACAGGGTGCGTCATAATTATTGCAACAAGAGTTCAAAGACCGTTTGTGATGTCAAGAATGTGATGTCATGGGCGTGTAAAGCCAATAACAATCAAAATTGGACCTTCATGCAAGATGGAGCTCCCGCTCACACGAAGAAGACGGTTCAGGACTGGTGTGTGGCCAACTTTCCCTCAGTGATCACCAAGGATGAATGGCCTCCAAACTCACCGGATCTCAATGTGATGGACTTTTCCATTTGGGCAATCTTAGAGGCTAATTTCTGCTCTCGAAAACACAACGGATGATTTGACCAAAGGATGGAAGGCGATTCCTCAAGATGACATTCGGGCCGCAGTGGAGGCATATCCGAACCGATTAAGGGCTGTTATCAAGGCAAAAGGCGGTCATATCGAATGATCTCTTGTTTCCTTATTTGTTACTGTTAAATAAAGCTATTTCTGTTTAAAAATCTTCTTCCAGTGAAACTTCTTGGTGTGCAATGCCTTGAGTATCTTGTTGCAATAATTATGACGCACCCTGTAGTTGCAGTAACCCAAGCACACAGTAACTCTAGATTTAAGCTAAAGTAATTTTGGTTCAAGATTAAGTTAAGGGCTACTATAGTTAAGAAAAACTATAATAGCCCTATACAAAGTGTGTATAAATGCTAGTTTGAAGGTTTGCATACATAGCATTTCATAAAACTTTTCATCAATGATGGTTAGTGTTTGAAAATTCATTTCTATTCTCACCGTCAATCATTTCAATCAATCTCCATCTCAATCAATTTCCATTTTACTCCACAACACTTTGTTTCGTAAGTGCTTGAATCAAAATTTGATTTACGGAGTGTCTTTTCATGACTTCTAGTGTCTTTTCATGACTTCAAAACACGTGCTAGTATGTTTATTTGTTGCCAGCTCCATACGCTCATTTTGAGTCTTCTAAAAAGAATATGGGGAAAGAGAAATTTTGAGAGGAGACTAGGGGTACTAGCCGGAGAGAAAAGAGTGTCACCCTTTGCAATGAATCATCTCTACAAATCTTATCGTTTCAGAATAACGAATAGAGCGCATATTATTATCGTGTGTATACTTGCGTATTTGCATAGATGCATTTGTTGAAAACGTTTTACGTAGTTCAGAAAGCTTTAAGCGGTTTACGATTGATAAACGAATAGTCGCTAGCTTGCTAGGATTGGGCTCTTGATAATTAATTGTGTTCTCATGGAAGGATCTCTCTTTTCTCGTGCTTTCATTGTGATTGAAAGATCGACTCGAAGACAGGTCACGGCAACACCTGTGTGTAAAGAGGGAGAGAAACACGACTCTCAGCCTTTCGACTCTCACTCTCTTCTTTCATTCTTCCTCTTGGCCTCATTCTCTCAGTTTGTCTCCCTCGTGAGCATGAGTCTTTCCCATCTTCTTGTTGCTCTATCATTTCAACGAATGCTTCCTTTTGTTTTCAAGCCGACAGGCCTCATCATGTGTCCCACAACAAGTCAACCGAACTCGGGAAAACCTTATCACCGAACTTTTCGACGCTCAAGCTTGTCTTTGTATTTGTATTTATGTCCAAGCCGATTATGAATGAGTGGGTCTAGGAGCGTCCAACCGTCAAGTATTTAGTTATGTTAAATTTTTTAAATTAGAAAGATTGGATAAAAAGAAAAAAAAAATTATGGGGCTTCAAAGTTTTCTCTTGAGCAAACAGTTTCAATTCGCTACAAGATGATATAATATTGTCCTCATACATTAAAGGGTTGCTCTACTAGAAAGATTTGCCAAAAAATTTCATTCATAATCGGCTACGACATTTAGATTTCTAGAGTAAAAATGGAGTTTCATTGTCAATCCTTCTAATTGTATTTAAAAGTCTAAATGTAATTTTAAATCTTCTAATTGTATTTAAATTGTCAACCCTTGACAACTCTCTTTTGCATACTAGTTTGGGGATGAATCAATTTCAGAGCAAATAGAAGAGTAAAAGTTTTGGCTATGTCAAGATCACCGCCGCCGACGCGTCGAGATCCGCATTGCCTTGCTTTACCTTTTATTTGCATCTCTTCAGCCGGTGCCCTGATTGCCGCCTCAGCACTGTCGGCATGCATTTTCTCTGTAAGTTTTATCTCAATTCAAGGGAGCTGATCAAAACAGCGCCAGCCAAAATAATGCGTTTGCCGTTAAGTTTATTTGTGTTTCTTATTTTGATTGGATGTAGAAAAAAATTAGCTATCTGCTGAATTTTTTGGAGCTGTTTAGAACTAATCTGGGATGAGAAAATTCCAAAAAAACGAAAAAGGGCTTAAAAAGAGCTTTTCTCGACACCAATTCTCTTTTAAGTGATCCCAAAGTATACAAAGTGTAGATAAATTTTATTCCGCATCTAATAAGAATAAAAACATATAGAAACTTAATTGCAGAGGGGCTATTTTTGCCGTGGCACTGTTTTGACCAGCTCCCCAATTCAGTGATTGGGCTTCAATAAGAAAATTTCAGATTTCATACCGTTATGTGCACAATGATGAAACTCGCGGCACTAAATACTATGGGCTTTTCCGTTTTTGTTATGAGCCAAACGGTGAGATGCCGTACACAGGAGGAATTGGTAGATAAATGTAAAAGACTCAAACTGAACACTTATAGACTGGCCTCACAATGAATACTCTTGTCATCTGAGGAGACGGGCGCCAAGCAATATCCCAATTGACTACCGACAGTTCTACTCTGGTAATTCGAAGCATACAAAATTAAAATAGGTAATTGTAAACTCTCAAAACTATTCAGATTTCGAGCTGTGTACTCTGATCCTCATATCATTGGCAATTTTGTCGTCTTTTATGGCTGTTGCTTTCTCGATTTGCACTCTCTACTCACCACTTTGCTCTACTGCACACTCGCTCGTAGTTTTTATTGCAGGTATAAGATGCTTTATTATTTAAAGGCACAAAAATCATTACAACAGCAATTTCATCAACCGCTGGATTCATTGTTTACACGTACCACAACGAATTAAAGGAAAATCAAATGGAATCGACGAATGGAGTCCTTTACATGGTATTAAATTTACAATAACAAGAAAACTAACAAGAAATCAACGTTTAATTTATAAAACTCATATAATAACACACCAAATAGCGAGATGATCAACTTTGAATTTAGTATCATTACGGATGGGCGTATTATTACACAGCGGCTTCATCTGCAATTTTGTTAATTGCTTTTGTAATCTCATTGGTGTCTTCAGCTCTCTACTTAAGACATCGAACTCTATTGGAAGAAAAAAGAATCAGTATGTACCTGTAAAAAAATGAGTCCTCAATAAAGCTTTATTCCCGTCGCCGTATTTCAATCATCTCACTAAAATAATACACAAATTAAACAAAGAAAAAATGGCTTACCGCAAGTTTTTTTCACTCTCTTCTACGCTCTTTTGAAGATATTCCTTTTGCCGATCGAGTGCAGCTACTTTCTCCTAAAACTTAATAAATTTTTGAAAAATCAAATTGAATTTCACCTTATATCCTTTAGACTCGTCAGAATGTCGAGAGATTTCTTGATCGAGACCCGATAAGACAAACATACGCCCAAGCGTTTGATATACCTAAATCTATTTATAATGGGTGTAAAAAGGTAGGAATTCTACTATACAATAAGGTATAGACGATAAAACGACTATTAAATATAGTCTAACCAGATTGAGCAAGCTAATGTAGCTAACATACAACTTCCACTTCTGAGAGGAGAGGACAGTTTTGCACGTCTACCGTTTTTAATTTTTTTAAACTTTCTTGCTTCTGAAAAGCGACTAATTAAATAAAACAAGTTGAAAACTGCCCTTCGGGGAAGTAGCTGTTTATAGATTTAAGCTTGTAAAAACGCCTACCGATGTTGACGCTGGGAAGTTTTTCAACTGGTCTGCCGTTAAATCGGCAATACGAGATTTCTAAACGCATGCTTGAATAAGATTTTCAAAAGATCACCTACCGCCGAATACTTCTTCTTTTGAGCTTCTCCTTCACCGATCTTCTGCTTGGCGTCGGCCATCTTCATCTGGAGATCTTGGAAAGCCTAAATCAGACATTTAATCATCCGACACGTCAAAGTTACCTTTTTCAATTCAGCATCCGCGGCCATTTTTGGAGATCGGCTAGAAGTTCCTTTGCTTGCAGAAGTGCTCCTAAAAATTGTAGTTTAATCAGCTGGCTAAACGCCAAAAAGGATAGATGCTCATGAAATACAAAGAAAGTGAATGGGTCCCGCGACACTTTCCCTCAAAAAAGCACTGACAGCAACGAAATAACACGGAGAAAGAAGAAAATCATACAGAACCAGTAGATTTAGGCGGTGCACCACAAAATTCGTCTTGATTTCAATGTCTGGCCTTGAATCTCCGAAATTTTTTTAACCAGCCAATCTTTTTGGGATATTCAGTTATAAAGCTTTATACCTAAATTACAACTTCATGGGCGAATTAAGCAAAAGTTTTACTTTTAAATCACTTGAAAACTTTGGCTGTGTGTGGTTTGGTCCTCATCTTGACTTAGCAGTTTTTTTGCCAAATCTGCTCGAAATCATAGTTTTTTTCTCTCTTGATTTTTATTTCACGCAAAAGGAGTCAGAGGGGCCAGCTTGGAATAAGATGTTTTTGGAGTTGGATGGGCTGGGAGTTAATACAGTTAAGCTCAAGCCGACCCCACTGTCTCCCTTTCCACTTTTTACTTTTGATTAATTTAATTCGTTGTTTATCACCTTCATTTTTCATTTCAGGGTAACAATGAGCGTCTTCAGTCAATTGGTGGACAGCTCTAAATCAAATGTTTTCTCGCTCCCGGCTGTGAGAAAAGCTGATTGCGATGGACCATCTTCGGGTAAGATTTATAATTTGAATTGTACAATTCAAAAGTGTCAACCTTTTTAAATGTCTTGTTTTAGGAAAGAAAGAAGTGGCCTTCGGAAGCGGCCAATACTACGCTTATTGTGCGCTCGGTGGTGTGTTGTCTTGCGGTCTCACCCACACAGCTATGGTTCCCCTTGATCTCGTGAAATGTCGTATTCAGGTAAAGAGTTTTATTCTTATTTTACTAACTTTTGTTAGGTCGATCCCGCCAAGTACACCGGTATCGGCACTGGTTTCCGAGTGACCGTCGCCGAAGAGGGAGTTCGTGCGCTTGCTAAAGGATGGGCACCAACACTTATCGGATATTCGCTTCAAGGACTCGGAAAATTCGGCTTCTACGAGGTTTTCAAGAACGCCTATGCAAACATGCTGGGAGAGGAGCAAGCCTATCTTTGGCGAACATCGCTTTACCTTGCCGCCTCCGCTTCAGCTGAGTTCTTTGCGGATATTCTCTTGGCACCAATGGAGGCGACCAAAGTTCGAATTCAAACTAGGTATGTTTCATTATCATCAATCAGGCAATAAATTTTTCTTTTATAGCCCTGGGGCTCCTCCCACTCTTCGAGGATGCGCACCAATGATCTATCGGCAAGAAGGATTGACTGGTTTCTACAAAGGACTTCCACCACTCTGGATGCGTCAAATTCCGTACAGTAAGTTCTTACTAAATCTGAATCCTTTACTAACTAGGTATATTACAGCCATGATGAAGTTCGCGTGCTTCGAGAGAACTGTCGAGTTGCTGTACAAATATGTCGTGCCTAAACCACGAGCCGAATGCAACAAATCTGAGCAGTTGCTGGTGACTTTCGTTGCAGGTTGTTTTTCTTTTGTTAAGAGAAACTTTCGGGCTTTTTAGGTTATATTGCTGGTGTCTTCTGTGCTGTCGTTTCCCATCCCGCTGATACCATCGTTTCCAAATTGAATCAAGATGCTTCTGCTACAGCCGGATCGATTATCAAGAAGCTTGGAGTGAGTTGTCAATCGTTAATTTTAAGAAATTAATTTAGTTTGCTGGACTTTGGAAGGGATTGACGCCAAGGATCATCATGATTGGTACTCTGACTGCTCTTCAGTGGTTCATCTATGACACCGTCAAGGTGTGTTTAATTAATCGCCAGGATATTTGTTAGAAACTACCACAATATCCATGACAAATGTATTGCGAATTTCAGCGCGTACGTTATAATTTAGGTTGCGTTGAACTTGCCACGCCCTCCACCCCCAGAGATGCCAGAATCCCTCAAGAAGAAGTTGGCTGCAGCCGGAACTCAATAGAATAGCAATTTCGAAATAGTTCATACGTCTTTGGCAATCACGTACGAAATAAATTGTCTCCTCGTTTGATTATTTGTGATTTACGTCAATTGAAACGGTGTTTTTTCCATTCTTTTATGTTGAGGATAGTGAATAAAAGTGGTATATTTTATATTTGCTCTATTTTTTGCTGCTAAATGCACAACAGGCACGATTGGGAGTGGGACAAATGCGGCCTTTTTTTGCGCACCCGGACATTTGCGCACCTTGCCCATTAGCGCACCTTTTTTCGCGTTTTAAAAAAGCTCTAAAAAGCTAATATCAGCCAATTTCTATTCCAAAAGTTGTTTTTCTAGGTAATTTTAGGGCGTGGAATCGAAATTTTGACATATCAGAGCTTGTGGAAACAAACGGACGGAGTTATACAAAGAGAAAAATTAACAATTTTCTGTAATTTGATCTAGCCTTTTTGTCTTTCAAATTGGTTCCACAAGCTCTGATATGTCAAAATTTCGATTCTACGCCCTAAAATTACCTAGAAAAACAACTTTTGGAATAGAAATTGGTTGATATTAGCTTTTTAGAGCTTTTTTAAAACGCGAAAAAAGGTGCGCAAATGTCCGGGTGCGCAAAAAAAAGGTCGCATTTGTCCCACTCCCGGCACAATTAGAAGAATTTTGCCGAAAGGGTTGGCTGGAGGTCCTCGGTCTGGGCTTTGACTATCTTCGCCAATTTTTCTGTTTCTCTCGGTCTCCGCACCTGCGTGATCTTTTGCATACGGGCAGCGCTTTTAAAAGGACTCGAGGAATGGAGTGCAACTCCAGTTTTTAAATTTGCCTTGTGTCGTTTTTCACAAAATTAATAAAGTCTTCTATATCAATGATTGGCATTGAAACAGAATAGATCGATGGTGCCAGAGATCCGAATGGACCCGACAACTTTTATGTCGCCAAAACAAACGACGAGGGATGTTCACAAGGGGATCGGGGATGTATGCACGGGACTGACTGACTGGGTTGTTCGGTTGGGTGTGTCGTCTCGTTGAGAGGTGTGCCACTGTCGCTTCTCGTTGGTCTTTATCCTGTCGATCACCCTGCTTCTTTTTTCTTCTTTTCTGTAAGGACTTCAGGATGGATAGATGGATGAATGAAAAAAGAGGAAAAGAGCAAAGACGAGTATAGGGAAAGGGTGGAGGGGATGGCCTGGCGGACTGTCACTGTTTGCCCTCCCAATCCCGAGTCGATCCTCATCTTCCCTCATCATCTTTCTCTCCGCTCTTTCCTCAATTCCCCCTTTTCCATACCCCTTAACCCTCCCACATCCTGTGTTAAGCTTTATCCTCTATAATTTTTATAATTTTTATAATTTCAAAGCAAAGTTGTTTGCTGCAACGTATCTTGCAGTAATCTTTCAAATCTCTTTTCTGTTTGCAAACAAAATTTTGCGTTTTGGCACATCTTTACATTTGAGAAGGTTTTTCAAGTTAAACGCAAAAAAAATATGGAAATGAATACGGTTTGACCAAAGTCAGGGTATTCAAAATGCAACATTTTTGAACGTCTCAACTACCATTTCAGACCAATGGAACAGCAACCAATTGTACTTAAAAGGATCATTTTCATGGCTACACTACTTGTTCCAAAAGCTGAAGGCAAATCGGTAATTCAGTTACGCAATTGAGCAGGTACTTCATACCTGGCATCAACTTTGCCATCAACTCCATACCGTTTCTCTCGCCATCTCACTTTTCCCCTCAAAAAAAAGCATCGGTGAATAATCCCGCAGTCGCCAAATTTCGAGTGAATTTCAACGTTTATTTTCGAGCTTTTCTCCCTCTCTTTCGCCCTTTTTTTCTTCAATTTGGTCTCATTTGTCGATGAAAAGATTCACCCCGCGAAAAGCCTCTTCTTCTCCTCTTCTGATCGTCGACGATTCTTTGTCTCCCCTTCCCCCTATTCCTTTGATTTTTTTTCGTGAATTGGGATGAGTGATTCATTTAATTCAGATACAAATAAACACACAAATTCACCCTCGTCTCAGTTTTTATCAAATGCCATCTGCTAATCATGCGCTTTTGTAGGCATTTAGCAAACTTTCTTGAAGTTTTGCTAGCTCTCTAGCTCCATCCTCTCTAAATTCTGTATTACGGTTGCTTATCCGTCAAATTACTGTCAAAAATCACAGATAAGCTGAACATTTCAATGTTTGTCTACCGTAATCCATTTTCCATTCGGTATTAACTTTGATCGTAAAACGCGTAAGTCTACTCTAGATGCTAAAATTCGAATATTTTTGAGAAAAGATTGGTTTTGTATCAGTTTTGCATTGAATTGATGACTTTGTTTCTAAAAAGTTACTGAATTTTTAACGCTGATTCGCGAATTTCAACATCTTAAGTCCGCTAAATAAGTTTTAATCTCAGAAAAGTCACTTTTAAGATGTTCCTTTTTACACTTTAAATGCAACATCTTAGAATCCAACGACCCTGCTCCCAAAGAGGGTCGTTGGGTTGAAGGTTAATTAAAGGCGCTTCATTCGCACTTGTAAAGCACGCTGATCTGATTCCAGAAGTTGAAGAAAGTGTTCTAGCCGAACGCTTGCTTCCACAAGAATTCATGTAGATGTAGTCGGTGTACATCTGGTTTGAGCGAACATTAATACCATTAGAGCGCTTGACCATCGACTTCTTCAAACGGGACCACATAGATTCAGTGTTCTGTGTGTGGACAATGTTGATAGGATTGACTTGATGGTTGACTGTCAAGTGTCGATACAACATACAAAGCATGTTGCCACAACACCAGTGTAAGCTCGTCAAAGTTTGCTGTAAATGATGGAGCCTGACAAATGATTGAATAATCGACGTCAAAGCGACGTCAAAGCAGGTAAATGATGAAGCCAAGGCCGGATCCACGTTCGATTTCACCGAAGAGCCACATTCTTCCTTGGCCAGGAACTCTTTCGACGTTATATTTCCTCTTCGAAATGCATATCTCGTCGATCTCCACGTCTACATCAAAGCCACCGATTTGTCGAGGATGTTGGACGAACCACGAGCTGAAGAAATCACGAGTCCATTGTTCCCATTTTTCGATCGCACTGTGAGCAATTTTCAGCTCACAGACGATGTCAACATGAGTATTGATGGAAGTAGAGATAAGCGAATTGGAAGGCTTGAGGTGATGTGGGTCGACTCGAAGTACGTGTCAACGAAGTAACCGATGTGGTCCGTGATTGGCGGCGATGATATTGACGATCATTGGTCCCTGATTGGCGACATTGCACTGAATTGCACTCCCAGCGGTAGCCAGCCTTGTGCGGGTATCGCTTCATGTTTGCTGTACTGGAGACCCATTTGGCTAGCCAGTCGTAGAAGTCGTCATCAGGCGCATGAGCTTCTCATGAGTTCGGTCAAAATCATACCTAACTGAGCCTTAATATAGTTTTATGAAAATCCCTATACGTTTTCCCATGGCTGGTAGAGATTTGATGTCATTTCATCACCTCTACTCGATAATTTCCCTCATGATCGATCCCGTTTATGTGTCGAGCAGCACACGTTTGTTTCTTCTTGTTCTGCCCCTTCTGTGCCCTCTCATTCCCCCCGGATGTCCCCGGGATCATGTGTGCTCGTCCCCATCTACTTGGTTGAAGTGACTGACGCCTCTCCCTTCATCCCCCACTCCTATTTTTTTTTGGCTCTTTTTTTCCTCTCGGTGTTCCCAAGTTTCTTTTCTTACACTGACCACCTTTTTAGCCCCACTCTCCTGTTTTCTCCTTCTTCATGGCTCTTACTTGATCCTCGGCTTTCGATATCTTTTCCACTTCAATCATGTGAATGAAGTGAGAAGAAGTTCTTCCGGTGATTAGTAATCGTTTGAAGTTTTAGCACCTGATTAGATCTGATTGGATTTGAATCAAATTAGCTGATGAGATTCAAATCTAATCAGATCTAATCGCTGATGAAATATTTCAAAAAGCGTACACTCTCAGCAGAACTCAAATATCTCCATTGTACCCGATTTTTACTGTCCTATACAAGCTGGTTGATTAGTATCTATTGATATGCAAATAATCTTAAAAAAAAATAATTCGACTATTTTTCTAATCTAAACTAGTGAAGCAAAAAAGAAGAGCCACCAAAAATGGATGATACTTGAGAGCTAAGGAGTTGTTTTTTAAAGAGGAAAGTTGGATTGAGAGTTTGTTGAGAAATTTGATTTCTTGATATCTAGAGATATCATTTAACAAGCCAGTTCAATGTTCATTTTAGCTATATCTGTTTTTCATCTAAAAATACCCATTCCCATGTCGAACATCGATGAGATTAGATGTAACCTGAATGATCGGAGTTCCTCTCCTCATTTTTCGAGTTTCTTCGAGAGATTTTGTAGAAAGAAGGGGTTTTCTGGGTTTCTTTTTCATTATTTCAAGCTTCTATTTACTCTTTGGTCGTTTTGGAGGCCATTGGAAAGGGGAAAAGGCCAACACAGCCAACTTGTTACCAAAACGCTATTTCTTGGTTATTTTATTTTATGATTCTTGATGATCCGACCACTTGAAATTAGTCGGACATTACAAGTTTTGACACTACTTTTTTAGCTAGTCTTGAAAGTTCTGAAAGATTAGAGAATTTTAAATCTTATGACTAGCTTTCTTAGCTTAGCTTTTTTAGCTTAGCCTTTTTAGCTTAGTTTTTTAGATTAGCCTTTTTAGCTTAGCTTTTTAGCTTAGCTTTTTAGATTAGCTTTCTTAGCTTAGTTTTTTAGATTAGCTTTTTAGCTTAGCTTTTTTAGCTCAGCTTTCTTATTTCAAGGTTCCCTCTAGCCTTTATTTATCGCTTTCTCTTCTCTTCTTTCTTCTATTTTTCTTCATTACTCTTATTCTAGCTTTGGCTTTCGTTTCCTATTCGATTACTTGTCGTGAATGAAGAAGCTAATGCCCCAAAGAGTTTTTCGCGATCATCTCCACCCTCTGCATAAAAACAGAAGAAAAACGGGAGGACGATTTGGGACGAGGCTATAAATTTGTGTGTATAACGTAGGAGAGATTTTGTTGGGATAGATGGGTTAAAGAAAAGAGGAAAGCTGCTAGGAAAGAGAGAGAGAAGGGGTAAGACAGAGCTTCATGGGGCTTTTCTTCACCGTTGTGTTACAGCGATTGGGGAGGGGAGGCTGAGGGGAGACTGAGCACAGGGAGAGGAGGGGAGGGAGTGAACGGGACGGGCGATGAGGCGAGTGCCAACTGACCATCACTTCTATTATCTGTCCCAACCTATCTCTCAATCCTCTCGAAACACCACATACTACGTCAATCCTCATCGATACCTTTCTCTCTTTTCTCGTCGACTTTTCTCACCTCCTCTTTCGAATCGGACTCGATGAATGAATCGATAATTTCACTCATCTCATCTCATCCCACTTTTCTCTCTTCTTCTTCTTTCCTTTCACCGATCTCGACCAGATGAGTTCTGTATTCCTAGACAAACATCAGCTTTTCTCTTTTCTTCTTTTCAATTTTCTTCATCTTCTTCCAGAAACTCTCATCTCTCTTTCTCTATCAAATGTTTGTGATTTCAATCTCCTCACATTTGTAGCCAAGCAAGTTTACTGATTTTAATTTTTCGCTTATTGCAATTCATTTATTTGCGAGGCTCGGAAGTCAAATTCTTTTAATCAAAGCTGGGATTTGACTACGTCAATCCTCCCTCATCGATACTTTTCAATCCTCCCTCATCGATGCTCAAGCTGGGATTTGACTCAAGAAACTTTTTGGCTAACATGAAAATGATCAGCTTAAAATTTGAGTTTTTTTTTTGATAAAACACTCAATCCAAAACGGATCACAGAAAGTGAGCTAATGAGTGACAAAAGTTCAAACTAACCCTTTGAAAAGCTGAACAGTTTTGAAAAGAAGTTGATTAAAGATTTTGATTAAAAATCTATCAATTAAGTATTTCAAAATACTAGTTAGAATGTTTTGCTTAACATTTTCTATTGAGTAAACAATCTAGGTCGATCGATCAATCAAAATCGATCGATTTTCTGGATTTAATGACAGATCAATTGATCAATTGATCAATTGATATTTGAGGATTCAATGAAACATTCTTACTTACTTCTTACTGAATGCGTACAATAAACATTCAAGTTTCTGTTATTCAGCTTTCATTTGATACTTAAGCACACACTGTAACATAAAAGAGTGGCGAGAAAAATGCGTTTAAAGTTAGACTACGCGACGCTCCGACCGTCATTATAGGGAAGCGTAGTCACAAAAGTTTTTTAGTATTTTCTGTTATTCTACATTTTGAGGTCTAGTTTTGTGTTTTTCTGTCATTAAATCCAGAAAATCGATCGATTTTGATTGATCGATCGACCAAGATTGTTTACTCAATAGAAAATGTTAAGCAAAACATTCTAACTAGTATTTTGAGATACTTAAATCAATAGATTTTTAATCAACTTCTTTTCTTATTCAAAAGTTTCTGTTATTCAAAACACAAAACTAAATCACAAAATGTAGAATAACAGAAACTTGAATGTTTACAATAAATGTTTACGCTTCCCTATAATGACGGTCGGAGCGTCGCGTAGTCTAACTTTAAACGCATTTTTCTCGCCACTCTTTTATGCTACAGTGTGTGCTTAAGTATCAAATGAAAGCTGAATAACAGAAACTTGAATGTTTATTGTACGCATTCAGTAAGAAGTAAGTAAGAATGTTTCATTGAATCCTCAAATATCAATTGATCAATTGATCAATTGATCTCTCAAAATTCATTTCAACAACCCGTCTTTCTTGATTTCTTTGGCTCAAATTTCTCAACTTTAACTCTAAAATTATCCCCATATTGATGAGATGAGAAAGAAGAAAGAAGCAATTGTTTGGCACACACATAACGAGGATCTTGTGCCTTATGTTTGATAGTCTTTTTTTCAGTGATTCTCTCAGTTTTTCTCTCTTTTCTATAGATGAGTCAGGTCATCGATCTCTCATCATTTCATTCATTCTTTCATTCATTCTTTCATTCATTCTCTTTTCTTCTCAACCCAATGAGCGCCTGTTTTCTGGTCGGGTTTAACTGATGAAAAACGGGTTTGATCATTTTGTCAAGCGAATATCGACTGAAATTTCATGGCCCACTATCATCAACCATAGGGTTCGTTTCATTGATATGTTTCATTGATATGTTTCATTGATATGGTTCTACGAGAAAGAAGTTATGCGGGCTTTTTTTCGTTCTACACGCGAGTTTGATATGATCTTAAATGATCTTAAATGCTTTTTAATCTTAAATGGCTTGAGTCAGTCTAGTTGAGTCAGTCTAGATTGAAAGTCTAGATTGAAGTCAGTCAGTCAGTCTAGATTGAAATCTAGTTGTCTTTGGTTTTAAGCATTTTGTTGTTTTGATCTCTATCAACTATCCGGCTTTTTTTTACAATCTCATTTCATTCATACCATTTCTTGCCTTTTCTTGCCTTTTCTGCCTCTCTGCCCTTTTCTTGTACAATTCTTTTACAATCTTTTCACTTTTCAGGCGAAAGCCTCACCAGAAGGGGTGTTCAAAATCACATCTGGAAAATACACCCATCAATAAGTGAAAAGAAAAAGGGAAACGAGTGTTCTTTGTAAAAAGAGAGAAAGATGAGGGTTGGTTCATCAGGATCTCGACAAGGAACAACGGGAAGACTTCAACGATTCTCGCAAAGCTCTATTAGGGCAAATCCGTCACCTCTTACATCAGCAAATGCGCCTGGTAAGGCAAAGAGTTGTTCATAAAACAACTTACCTATATAATGGATGTAGAATAACAGAAACTTGAATGTCTATTGTACGCATTCATTAAGAATGTTACATTAAATCCTGTGAATTGTAGTACTCGTGAATAAAGAAACTAAAGAAAGCTAAAAAAAACGGAAAGCTTAGAATTTGTGTTGGGTTTAAGATGTTAACAATATTTGATAATATTTGATTATCTTCTCTTAGGATTATTTGATAATATTTGATTATCACAAAACAACTTACCTATATAAAGGATGTAGAATAACAGAAACTTGAATGTTTATTGTACGCATTGTAAAGACTAAAGAAAGCTAAAAAAAAACGGAAAGCTTAGGACTTGTGTTGGGCTTAAGATGTTAAGAAAATTTGATAATATTTGATAATATTTGATTATCTTCTCTTAGGCGGAGCTCCTCTGGCCAGCGCTGATCCGATGTCGGGAAGTCGTCACGTGAAACATCGCTTTGAAATCGTGAAGAAGCTCGGATCAGGAACTTATGGAAAAGTTTCTCTTGCTTACGATCACAAAATGGATAGAGAAGTGAGTGAACTTGAAAATTATTAGATTAGATATTAGATTAGATATTAGATTAGATATTAGATTGATATTAGATTGATATTAGATTGATATTAGATTGATATTAGATTGATATTAGATTGATATTAGATTGATATTAGATTAGATATTAGATTAGATATTAGATTTGATATTAGATTAGATATTAGATTGATATTAGATTGATATTAGATTAGATATTAGATTAGATATTAGATTAGATATTAGATTAGATATTAGATTTGATATTAGATTAGATATTAGATTTGATATTAGATTTGATATTAGATTTGATATTAGATTTGATATTACATTTCTAACAATTTAATTTTAGGTGGCCGTAAAATTGATCAAGAAAAGCGCCATCGAGAACAAAGCGGATTTGGTGCGAATTCGGCGAGAAATCCGAATCATGAGTGCCCTTAATCACCCGAATATCATTCAAATCTACGAAGTTTTTGAAAACAAAGAAAAGATTATTCTTGTGATGGAATATGCGAGTGGAGGCGAATTGTATGATTTCGTTTCGGGAAAAGGCTCACTCGCTGAAGCGGAAGCGAGAAGAATCTTTCGACAAATCACTTCAGCTGTTCTTTATTGTCATAAGGTTTGTTATATCACATGTTAATCTTTATAAACATTTAGAGATTAGTATCTAAATCTATCTAAAGATAAGTATCTAATCTATCAAAGAATAGGTATAAAATAGAAGCCCACGATAAGCTGAATTGAAATGGTTAGCCTTTAAACTTTCAACTGTAAGTTGAAAGTTTCAACTGTAACTAGTCATGGACAAAAGTCTTTCAACGTTGGTTTTTAGAAGTTTGTTCTTTGTATATCTTGATCCAAATCCGACGAATTTGCAAATAAAAAGCTCATGAAATATTATAAATCATTGAATCCATCGTTTTGCTAATGCTAAAACTAGTGATAATAAGCTGCTAATACTAGTGATAATAAGCTGCTAATGTTAATACTAGTGATAATAAGCTGCTAATGCTAATACTAGTGATAATAAGCTGCTAATGCTAATACTAGTGATAATAAGCTGCTAATACTAGTGATAATAAGCTGCTAATGCTAATACTAGTGATAATAAGTTGCTAATACTAGTGATAATAAGCTGCTAATGTTAATACTAGTGATAATAAGCTGCTAATGCTAATACTAGTGATAATAAGCTGCTAATGCTGAAACTAGTGATAATAAGCTGCTAATGTTAATACTAGTGATAATAAGCTGCTAATGTTAATACTAGTGATAATAAGCTGCTAATGCTGAAACTAGTGATAATAAGCTGCTAATGTTAATACTAGTGATAATAAGCTGCTAATGTTAATACTAGTGATAATAAGCTGCTAATGCTAATGTTTTGCTAATGCTAATACTAGTGATAATAAGCTCTTTAAATCTTTCAATCGTTTGCAAATTGGTCGAATTTAGACCAAAGGTATACGAAAAACAAACATCGGAAAACCAACGTTAAAGGATTTTTGTCCATGACTGTATCCAGCCTCAACTTTGCTAAACCATCAATAAAAGCAACAATATCTTTTCTAAATCTTTCAAATAACCTCAAAAATTTTAGCATCAAGTCGCTCATCGTGATCTCAAATTGGAGAACATTCTCCTTGACGAGCAAAGCAACGCAAAAATCGCGGATTTCGGTCTTTCGAATTATTTTTCGGACAAAAATTTACTGACAACTTTTTGTGGTTCACCTCTTTACGCATCACCGGAAATTATTAATGGAACTCCGTACAAAGGACCGGAGGTAGGCAAGGGAATCAAGACATTAAAAGAATATCAGTATACTGCAATTGAATCAAAATAAAAAACAAAACAAAAGTACAGCAGAAAAATGGAGTTGAGCCGTTCCTTTTATGGATTGGGAATCCATAAATCCATAAAAACGGTCGGTACCGGGACTCGAACCCGTGACCCGTCGCTCCCCGAGCGAACGCTCTACCAATGAGCTACAGGTGCATGTGTCACCTTGCCGCCAGGCTAGGGCTTTATCCCTTACTATTGAGTAATTGTTTTTGGATATTCAGGTCGATTGCTGGTCACTGGGAATCCTTTTGTACACTCTCGTTTACGGGTCAATGCCTTTCGATGGACGGGATTTCAATCGAATGGTTCGACAAATTAAAAGAGGCGCATATTATGAGCCGGAGACGCCGTCAAGTGAGTTCAATTCAGGCAAGCTCTCGATATCAATAAGTTCAGCCGCATCGATGTTGGTTCGCAACATGTTGAGAGTGAATCCGGAAAGACGAGCGACCATCTTCGACATCGCCTCGCATTGGTGGCTGAACTTGGATGAGAATATGCCCGTCATTCAGGAGTTGCCCGAGAATCAAGTGAGCATTTGGACATGAGAACAGAGAACAGCTATGGCAACAGTTCCTTTCAGATCACCGATCACACTCCATTAACGGAAAGAGCCGAAACAATGGTCGTTCAAGATTTAGCTGACGAAACAGACGTTTTCATGGAATTCAGTCATCTCTCGAATGAGACAAGAAAGAAAATCGAGGAATTCCGACGAAGAAGAAAAGAAGCAGAAGAATATAATGAGAATTGTCCGGTTAAACCGCCAAAGGTAAAGAGATGGGTTAACAAAGTGTTGTAGTTTACATTGAGAAGTCTATTGAACTATTGAACTATTGAACTATTGAACTATTGAACAAGCTTTATTCTATTGAACTATTAAACTATTGAACTATTGAACTAACTAACAAGTACAAGCTTTATTCCTGTGACTCTTTTAATTCGTTTTTGTTCTCCCTTTTATCAGACGATCTTTTAAAGAACTTTTAAGAACAATTTCCAATTTCCAAATTCCCCAAATCAATATCACCATTTTGCAGAGTCGAAAAACGGAGAATGGAACAGCTGTTGGGGAAGAGATGAGAGCGGAAGAGAAGAGTTTGAGAGGGAAAACCGAAAAAGAAGTGGAAAAGTTTGACGGAGTGGAGATGGATCCATTGGAAAGATTGAGACAAATCGAGAATAAATTATCGGAAAGAACATCAAGAGTAAGGAGGGGAAGTGGTGGCGAAAAAAAGAGATTGTTTTAGAGAATATCCAATGCGACAAAAGTGGAAGAGGTGGAGGAGACGAAGAGTACGACAAGGTGGGTGGTTTTTTTTGGGATAAAAGAGATTCAGTTAGGGTAAAGATTGCCAAATAAACGGAATAATTGGATTGCAGGAGAGACTCATGGAAAGCAGCTCCACAATTCGTCGGCAGAGACACATCGCCTGTCGCTTCATCAACCGGCGCAAATCGGACCCCATCTGGGTGGAGGGTTGAGACTGACTCGCTAAATGTTTTGATGAATCAAGTATTAATTCTGTTTGAATTTTTCTAGACATCTTCTTGATCTTCTTGAAATATATTAAATTACAAATGATTCTAGGTTCTTGAGCAAATGGAGAAAGGACCAGTGAGTCTGAATCTGGTGGCACGAATCAAGGCTCATCCTTTGTACGATGTGAGGCCAATGGTGAAAGAGTTATTGGAGTCGATTATGGCCACACAATCGGAGACTGTACAGATACAAACGAGCAAGATTGCCGCACAGAAAAGCCAGGTTTTAGAAGGAGGCAATGATAAACAAAAAAAAAGTGGTTTCAGGATGTAGTGAGTGGGTCATCAAGTCCGCTGAAAAGTCCTGTCAAGAAAGAGGCACCGAAAACGAAAGGCAATCTCGAGCAGAGGCCGTGGAATAGTGTGGAGGTGAGTTTAGAGTTAAGGGATTGTTTACTGAGCTCTAGCTGTTTTCAATCTACAAGCTTCAGGTCGGTTTTGATGAGGATGGTTTGGAGGCAGCTCAAGCGAGTACCGTTGTGGCGCCAAAAGGAAAAGCAGGAAAAAGTCCGCCAGGTTTTTTAAAAGAAAATAGTTGAAAAGGAAATTGAAATAGAAAATAAATATACTTCAAAATGTTGTAAGATCAACAAGAATGTAAGAACAAGTTCTTAAAATCAACGTTGCTGTTGTAGCTCGGGACTTTCAGGTACTCACGAAGAGGGTGAAAGTGAAGGAGATGAGTATTCAGACAGTGAACTGGAGGAGTTGGCTGAAGAAGTGGAACAGGTTGGCGCAAAAACAAATCGCTTCAAACAAAAGCAAGCTAAAATTTACGCTCTACAATGGTCTACAATCAATTTTATCTTAAAAATTAAGGTTGAGCAAACAGCACAACCGAGTAAGGTCCCAAAAACGGCACCGAAAGTCGAAGTGATCACCGAGCTAGCCCCACCCGATCCACAACTTTTAACACCGGTTTGTTCATTTTCAAATCCTCAAATCTCTTTTATTTTCTTCTATTTAACACAATTTGAGGTGAGTTGAAACTTTTGAGATTCGGCACAGATAACATTGATGATGATGATGATCATGTGGGTGTTTTTTTTTAGACAACAAACGGGAATGAGCCAGTGATTGCATTGATCGATCCACAGCAACTTCTTACAAATCCTCAATATTTGGATGCTTTCGATCGAGGGCTAATTAAGAGGCAATCAAAAGGGAAATATCAGGTAGAGCAAATAAAAAGAAGATTAAGAAAGTTTATTCGAACGTTTAAAACAATGATGGAAACAATGATTTTGAAGGAAAAAGGAGTGATTTCCTTTTATGTTTTCCTTCAATTCTATCATTTTATGATTTATCTCAAGAAATGATGATCAATGTAAAATGTAATCTACACTTTCTAGAACTATTCTTGAAAATAAGTACCGTAAATACTGTAATAGTACCCCACCGCCCTCGTACAGTCGCGTAGTCGCAATTTAAGTTTTTTAGTATTTCATTTTTTCAAAGCGCCCATACTTTCAAAAAATGCGTCTTTGGTATCAAAAAATAGCCCTGAATTTCAGCTTTCATTTGATACTTAAGCACACACTGTAGCATAAAAGAGTGGCGAGAAAAATGCGTTTAAAGTTAGACTACGCGACGCTCCGACCGTCATTATAGGAAAGCGTAGTCACAAAGTTTTTTAGTATTTCATTTTTTTCAAAGCATCCGTACTTTCAAAAAATGCGTCTTTAATATCAAAAAAATAGCTGAAATTCAGGGCTATTTTTTGATACCTAAGCGCGCATTGTAGCATAAACCAGTGTCGAGAAAAACTCGTTCAAAGCTAGACGACACAACACTCCGCACCGTCATTATGGGGCTGGGGTACTATTACAGTATTTACGGTATAAACATTAGATACTAATCAATTGAAATGATTAACAGGAATGTTAGAAGTACGGAAATCCAACTCCAAGATTACTCAGCATTTCAACTAGCGGATTTAAAGCTTAAACAGAAAATTTAATCCAGAATTTAATCCAGATGAATCGACTTTAAAAAAGTCAAGCATTTAAATAGCTGTTTTATTTTAAAAGTATCGTACTCATCAAACTCAATCCAAAACTCTTAAACCTTTCAGTTTACTCCTTCAAACGTTTCCTCCTTCAACTAGTGCACTTGATTAGATTGTACAAAAGCATTCAAAAGTTTCACAACTTTTACTAAAACTTTATAAAGAAAGATATTCAACTAGACTTTTTAAAATAAAAACCTTAATCAAATTATATTTAAAACCAATGAGCTCAGCGCAACTAGCTCAGCTCAACTAGCTCAGCTCAACTAGCTCAGCTCAACTAGCTCAGCTCAACTAGCTCAGCTCAACTAGCTCAGCTCAACTAGCTCAGCTCAACTAGCTCAGCTCAACTAGCTCAGCTCAACTAGCTCAGCTCAACAGCTCAGCTCAACTAGCTCAGCTCACTAGCTCGCTCAACAGCTCAGCTCAACTAGCTCAGCTCAACTAGCTCAGCTCAACTAGCTCAGCTCAACAGCTCAGCTCAACTAGCTCAGCTCAACTAGCTCGCTCAACGTCAGCTCAACTAGCTCAGCTCAACTAGCTCAGCTCAACTAGCTCAGCTCAACTAGCTCAGCTCAACTAGCTCAGCTCAACTAGCTCAGCGCAACTAGCTCAGCGCAACTAGCTCAGCGCAACTAGCTCAGCGCAACTAGCTCAGCGCAACTAGCTCAGCGCAACTAGCTCAGCGCAACTAGCTCAGCGCAACTAGCTCAGCGCAACTAGCTCAGCGCAACTAGCTCAGCGCAACTAGCTCAGCTTTTTATATGGTTTTGAGCTGCGAACAAGCTCCTTTTGTTTGTTGTGATCAAAATCGACTTTCTTTTCAATTATCTAGTCATGCATAAAGTTTAGACTAATCCTAAACAAAAATTTCTAAACTTTAAATGTTTATCTTTATGCTATAAACATTAGAAAATAGTTTTTAAAGTGTTTAGGCTAACATTTATTTGAATAGAAACTTTTTCGTAATAAAGCCAACAGAATTTCATTGTTTTATTGAAAAAGCTTCTTTAAAAAAAGCCCTAAAAAGAGTGTTTAATATCAAGTTTAATTTATTTGAATCAGAAAAAGGACGGACAGACCGACATACGGACACTTCTCTTTTATATATAGTAGATTACTTCATGTTCTTCCAATTGATTTCCCCAAATGGCTGATCCGAGAAGAACGAACATGCTATTGAGAAAATACTACCACACCAGAAAAGTCCTTAATTTTTTATATGTTATATATTAGACTTGTGTTTCGGTTGGCCCTTTTCGGTTCGGTTTCGGTTTCGGTTCAACCGAAGTCAACCGAAATCTTCCGGTTCGGTTCGGTTCGGTTCAACCGAAAACATGAGTCTTTCGGCTCGGTTCGGTTCGGTTAAACCGAAAAGATGAATTTTTCGGTTCGGTTCAGTTTCGGTTCAACCGAAAACTGAGTTTGTCGGTTCGGTTCGGTTTCGGTTGACTCAAATTATTTTTAGCGATTGTAATTTGAAAAGCTAATTAATTTCTTAACAAATTTTCAACAAAAATGCAATATATAGAGAGTTTGGCGTAATTCGCATAAATTTATTGCGTTTTCTTGTTTCCTTTATCGCACGTTATCGAATTTCGGTTCGTTCGGTTCGGTTGACCGAAAAGATTAGTTTTCGGTTTGTTTCGTTTCGGTTCACCGAAAGATGATTTTTCGGTTCGGTTCGGTTTCGGTTCAACCGAAAATATTTTTTCGGTTCGGTTCGGTTAACCGAAACCGAAACCGAAACCGAACCGAAAAAGAACGTTTCCGGTTCAACCGAAACACAAGTCTATTTATGGTCGTAGCCGATTAAGGATTTCAGCCGAAGAAGTCTCAGATTTCTTCGGCTAGCCGAAGAAGTCTCAGATTTCTTCGGCTAGCCGATGAAGTCTGAGACTTCTTCGGCTGAAATCCTTAATCGGCTACGACATATAAATCATCTCATCATCAGCAAAGCCCTCTCGTGGAGCGATCGTCTCAAAGAATTGCTAAAAATAAGTAATATAATAGGAAATTTGTAAAAAGCCTAAAATTTTTGTAAATTATTTAATTTGATTGGTGCTAAGGATGTTGAAAGTTAAAAGTTGACTAATTTCAGCAACTTACAGGCAACTATACAGGCAAAAGGGCTAAGAAAAAGCTATGATCAGTGGTTTTAAATCTAATTTTATTAGCTTTATTAGCTTTTACTTTAAAAAAGTTTACTTAAATAGCTTTCTTCATCAAGTTTTCGTAAAAGTTGTGAAACTTTTGTATCAACGTGTATCAACTTGATTTGTTTTCTTCTCTTCTCTATCTTTTTCCCTCTTTCAGCATATGATGGTCGATATGTATGGGAGGGGAATCGGGATTGTCGATGAAACAGAAATGATTCTCCCTCGTCGTCGTATCGGTGGCCCACAGCCGAGTCGTGATCTTTCTCCACTTCTCTTTGATAAGGTCATCCGACATCATCACTCTCACACTAATCCTCATCAATATTCTTTTCTTTTTTTCCGTTATGTCTTTGTCGATTGCATTTACATTAGAGACTAACCAGCACGATTTTTTTTGAACTTTTTGAATAGGTGTCTAGTTTTACTTGTGATTCACTAGCTACAGCTCTAATTTTCTGAGTTTAGGCTAAGAAGTACATCATGAGATATCCGAATGTTGCTCCGGAGGACAGTGATGAGGAATTGGATGGGAAGAAAAAGAAGAAAAAGAAGAAAGATGGAGAAAAACAAGCATGGAGAGGAATTGCGACACATTCGAAGTCTCCATCACCGACAAGGGGGTACGTGGATGAAGAAAGCTAAATAAAAGAAAGCTAAATAAAAGAAAGCTAAATAAAAGAAAGTTAAATAAAAGAAAGCGTGGATAAAAGCTAAATAAATACTTAAATACTAAAAGCTTAAATATTTTAAAAGCTAAATACTTCAAAAATATTCAGATTTGCTGGCTCAGTACCTCCTAGAACACCACCTTTGTTGAAGAGTGACACTGAAGGTGATGAGGATGAGGATGAAGAGGAAGAGGAAGAAAATGAGCAATCAAAGGTGGGAGATTTGAAAAAGCTATATTTGAATGCACTAGAATCAGCTATTGAAAGATTATAGCTAAAGCTAGCTACTTCCCTTTACTTCTAGCTAGCTACTTCCCTTTGACTAGGAAGCTAGTTCCCTTTACTCTAAAATATTCTTTAGCCTCCCCAAAAGCCAGCTTTCACATCTCCCACTCAACCCCAGCCATCTCAACCATCTCTCGCTACAAATGGAAGTAAGTTTTGATTGTTTGGTTTGTGTTTTCACGCTTCTCGCTCTAGTCGAGCCACCCGCTTTCTCTTTTTCATTCCATTGAACAATATTTATTTGAAAAGTGAGGAGATTGTGAAGTTTAAAGGAAGTAAATCAAATAGACGAGAGAAGACTGACATGATGATTGACGAGCCACCGTGATTGACGAGCTTTCTCTTTTTCATTCCATTGAACAATATTTATTTGATGAGTCAAAGACTGATTGATGTTAGCCAAAAATTTCAGCTCTAAAATCAGCCCAAAATAGCTATAGTCGAGCTAACAACTTTAAAAAAAAACATAGACGCCCTTAAACATTAGCCCTTAAAAAGTTCACAATTTCCTCTCGATTCATTTCTTCAAACGCACTCAACCATTCGATTGTTTCTTCTAGAGTTGGCTCATCGTATCCCAAATGGACATCGAAAGGAGTCCTTCACACACACAGCTCCCGCCTCCATTCACACGTCACCCGATTCCTCTGGATCCGGTACTCAGCTCTAGTCGAGACTCA